ACAGATTCTTGCTCTTTCACCCAGGCTGGAGTGCAGTGGCCCAACCTCTGATCACTGCAATCCCCACCCCCTGGGTTCAAGCGATTCTCCTGCCTCAGTCTCCTAAGTAGCTGGGATTACAGGCATGCATCTCCAGGCCCGGCTAATTTTTTGTATTTTTAGCAGAAATGGGTTTTCACCACGCCGGCCAGGCTGGTCTCAAACTCCTGACCTCAGGTGATCCACCTACTTTGGCTTCCCAAAGGGCTTGGATTACAGGCATCAGCCACTGCGCCAGGCCAATTTTCTTAAACATACGCATATACTTCTCTTTGAAATACAAAAATTAATTTTAAAAGAGAATGTACACATTTAAAAATAAGTAAGAGTATAAATGGATTGTTTGTAACACAAAGGATAAATGATTGAGAGAACGGATATTCTGTTTTTCCATGATGTGATTATTATGCATTGCATGCCTGTATCAAAATATTTAATGTACCCATGACTATATAACCTACTATGTACCCACAAAAAAGAAAGCTTTAAAAAAAAAAAAAAATTTTTTTTTTTTTTAGGCCGGGCGTGGTGGCTCAAGCCTGTAATCCCAGCACTTTGGGAGGCCGAGGCGGGTGGATCACGAGGTCGAGAGATCGAGACCAACCTGGTCAACATGGTGAAACCCCGTCTCTACTAAAAATACAAAAAATTAGCTGGGCATGGTGGTGCGTGCCTATAATCCCAGCTACTCAGGAGGCTGAGGCAGGAGAATTGCCTGAACCCAGGAGGCGGAGGTTGTGGTGAGCCGAGATCGCGCCATTGCACTCCAGCCTGGGTAACAAGAGCGAAACTCCGTCTCAAAAAAAAAAAAAAAAAAAGAAGACAACCATTTTACATGAACAGGCTCAACACAGATGCCAGTTTCTCTTTTGAATGTAGTAAAAATGAAAAGTAAATTAAACATTAAAATGAATGTTAAAACTTGGTAACTACAACAATATATTTTTTTTTTTTTTACAAAATTCACATTTTATTTAGATTGAAATAAACTATACAAAATTGATTTTCTTCACCAAAAATAACAGCAATATTTTCCATATTTTTCTAGATAAACCACAACATTCATTTTTGTAGGTTTCCAGGTTTTGCTTATAAATCAAGATGAGGCAGTAGATAAGTCATGGAAAAAGACAGAAAAAAAAAAAAAAAACCAACCAGACAAATCATGGCCTTTGATTCTGTCTTAACCATGAAACAGAAGTGTTCAACATATACCTGCTAAAAAGCGTAGGAAGATGTAGGCTCCACAAAGGAATGTAAACAGCCAACAATGAGATGTGGAACAATGGCAGCCTCCTCCATTCAAACTTTTACTGTCATTTGTTCCTTAAGTTCATTTCAGAAAGACAGAATCTACACTGAAATCCTTTTTTGGCAAGCTCACAAGCTTTTCTCCGGTAATTTCTTATAACTGTCCAGTACAGATTTTTAACATACTTAAAACTCCTATTAGTCAAAGGTCAACTGTGGGCTTCACTATAACATTTTATAAAATGTATTTCTTCCTCCCACACCTCTTCAAAATATATTTCTTCAAAGAATTCATAACACCCAACAAGTAGAGATCCACAGTGATAATAAATGCTATGTCTAAAATGACTTAACTAAAAGAATTCCAGAGTGCCACCAGCAGAGATCACACAGAAGGAAACATAGCACTTTCAGTGTTCTCTTCTGGAAGAACAGATAGGCCTTCAAAGCAGGAGAGTTCAAATAGGGGCCATTTAAACAGGTAGATTATCAATGGCTAATGTATTCAATGAAGTCCTATAGGCAAAGATATTTAGTGATTAAGTGGCCTACATACACCTTACAGCTTTTCTTCCAAATATAAAATATAAGAAAATCTATTTTTAAAAGTCTCTTAGGTATTTTCCATGGTTTCTGAATTCTCTGTGGGAAGCTCTGACTTATTTGTATAAAGTTTAATATATGTGTCCACCATTAAATCCAGGTCGTGTTTTATATCAAAATTTATGTTAAGCAAAGCCAAGTTACTCGACCTTTGGTCTGTCAAAGTGTTCCTCAAATATGCTTTAAGACGTTTTCGTCCATTTTCATACCGCTCATTTTCAACCTTCATCACAGGAAGAATACACAGGACCTTTAGCAATGCATACACATTAGGAAAAAACTTGATGTCAGGCAGGTGGAGGGCTTCATAGATAGTGGATGGAAGCTCTATATCTTTCCCCCTGTGTTTCCATTTGATTCTCCAACAGTGAAGCTCGGCTGAGAGCGTGTCAGGATTGGGTAAGTCACTTCTATACATATCAGCATGGTGTTCCTCTGATGTATTGAATTTGAGTTGTCCCATGACTGAGGGTACCAGAGATAAGCATTTAAGAGCTTTCAGGTGCTGTTCTGAGAATATATCTTTAAGTTCCTGAATAATGTGCTCCACTGTTGGGACACTTAGGGTTTCCTTATAGTAACTCTCAGAAGTTAGCTGAGATTCCAAGTTACCCTGGTGAGCTCTGCGGAATTTCCCAGGGAGTTTCATTTGAATATCAAGCTTGGTTGCCAAATTTGTGGCTTCCTCAAACCAAAATTCATGATAAACTTCAATATTTTCCATCACTTCATTAAGTGAATGCAATACTGCAGTCAAGCTACCGGCTGCAAAGAAGACATCTGAGGTTTGCCCCTGGAGATTTTTCCCAAAGGCTCTTGTAAAAGATAGCACGTTTTTAAGAACAACAATAGTAACAATGAAATCAAAATCTGTTACTGCACTGCAGAGTACAAATGCTCGGCCAGCTATACAGTTATTCCATCTAATATTTGTGTCACTATTTATACCATCTAAACATAAAACAAGTGCTTGCAGGAGTTCTACTAAAATTTCAAAAGCATCATGCCTGCCTGTCCACTGAGAATGGCAGATTTCCTTCAGTTCTTTACCCCTTTCTTTACTGTTCTGAAAAAGAACAGAAATTACATTGTCAAGTTCTAAAAGCAGTTGTGGTGATCGATGGAAAAAAGAACAAACTTCCTCAATTGTTCCTAATGCAACAGATACTCCCATAACAGGTACTGATTTTGCCAACCACATATTTAAGGCACAGGAAGAGCAAAGTGTGTAGATAGCCTGGGGATATTTCTCTAAAAGTCTAGAAGCAACAACTTTCATTTTGGAAGAAAATCCACTAGAAACAATGTAAGCCTGGCCACGACAATACTCCATATTTAATCCCCATTTCTCAGTTATCATAGTGTGAAATTTCACAGCCAAAATTTCTGCATCAGCTTCGTAAGGCAGGAAGCCTACAAATTCCTCTCTTAGGTTATGAGATTCATCAACAAACCTCACCAACACAGGTAGGTGCTCTTCCCCTGCTATGTCCACTACATCATCAGTGATAATGGAAAAGAAGTGTGAGTCTCTCACTTCCCTGAGAGTTTCTTCTCGAATACAGCTCTCACAGATCTCTAGCATCTGCCTCTGCTGTGTTTTTGAACAAAACAATGTGTTAACTGCTGTTGTTTCAAAGCGTTTTCTCAGGACCTCTTCACCAGAATTTATCCGGCACTCCAGCAGTGCTTGAAAGTTATCTGGAGTAAAGAGACCACCTGGGATTTCAACAGCTTCATGTCCATCCAGAGGTATATTTTGCTTTCCCATAAGAATCAAGATTTCAAATAGAGATTTTAGGTATTCTTTGTTTTCCTTCTCTTCAAGGGTTAGAGGTAAAATGTCCTCATCTTGCCCTTCACCCCCTTCTTCACTGGGATTCTGAGCACTGCTATTGTTGGTTTCTTTATGTTTTTGTTCCTGTTCAGAAATTTCATCAATTTTTTTCTGTTTCAGTGTCCTGATTTCGTCTTCACTAGTTCTACAGATCATAGAAGTCTCAAAATGTTTGGCACATAATCGATAATGTTTATTTAGCTGATCAGGTGTTTTATCTTCTAAGTCTGCTCTCCTACAATTCTCCACCCACTTCTGGCATCTAGCCGGGTCCCGCGGGAACCTGAAGAAGGCCAGGTCGGACTGCGTGCTCTTCCGCGTGCAGTTGGGGGCAGCGCAGAAGTTCGGCATCGTCGCCTGCCTGCCGGCCGGCCCAGCCCTCCCCTCCCCGCCTCCTCAGGGCAGTCCGCCCGCCCGTCGGGGCCGGGGAGGCTACAACAATATATTTTTAAATAAACATTCTTGATGTTAAAATGTGAGCTTTATTCCTGCATAACTGGATATAATTAGCCAGAGCACATTCTGTAGCCTATGATTTTGCCTCTTGGAATAAACTGAATAACCTAGTCTAATCAGACTAATTCACAGGTTTATTGTCTTTCAGTGCATCTGCCAGACATGACCAAAATATGAAACAACATGGAAAAAATAAACATAGAATAGAAAAAGCTGTTATAGTTAGTATACTTAGAATCAAAACTCTCTTATGCTCTGTGATCAAGATAAAAGAAAAAAATAGACATTTCTATCACCAATTATTTTATGTAAGTTTTGATAATGTGTCTTTATTCCTTTTTTCTTGGTAATGCCAGCTTATTAAGAAAAAATAATTTTTAATTTTTTAGGGCTGGGGTCTCACTCTGCGTCCCAGGCTAGAGTGCAATGGCACAATCAATGCCCACTATAGCCTCAAACTGCTAGGCTCAAGCGACCCTTCCACCTTAGCCTCCTGTATAGCTGAGACCACAGCCATGCACTGCCATGACTGGACAATTTTTTTCATTTTTTTATTTTTTAGAGATTGGGTTTTGCTTTGCTGCCCAGGCTCATCTCCTATTTCTGACATCAAGTGATCCAAATGCCTTAGCCACCACACCCAGCCATGAAAATACTTCTAAATAGAGATACATACTTGAATAAAGAATCAAAGTAGTCAGATTATGGCAATTTAAAGTTATTTACAAAGTAAACTGTACACCTAAATTTTATGTGCAAAAGATTTTATATCTTACTTTCTGACTACCTTAAAGAGGAAGAAAAGAAAAGTTACCTGAAGTTGATGGACAAATCCAGCGTTAGGATTAATACAAAATCTTCTTTCTTGAACATAAGCAAAAGCATCTCTGAAAACAAAGAAAATTAATGTGATAGCATTATTTAATGAATTAATCATAATCATACATCTTAACAATAGAGAGGGGTAACAAGTTGTAATGGAAAAAGCATCACGAATTCCTTGCTCAACAGCTATATGCATACAGCAGCTTGTTCAACTTCTCTAAGCCCTATTTTGTCCATTGGTAAAATGAAGAGTATAATAATACCTGTCTTGGGGAAATACTATGAATAGGAGATTAAGTGTAAAGTGGCCAGGTACAGTAGCTCATGCCTGTAACCCCAATCCTGTGGGAGGTCAACACAGGAAGACTGCTTGAAACCAGGACTTTCAGACCAGCCTGGACAATGTAGCCAGAACCCATCTCTACCAAAAAAAAAAAAAAAAAAAAAAAAAAAAACCCTAAAACTTAGCTAGGTATGGTGGTGTGGCATAGCCCCAGCTTCTTGCGAGGCTGAGGTGGGAGGATTGCTTGAGCCCTGGAGTCTGAGGCTACAGTGAGCTATGACTGTGCTACTACATTCCAGCCTGAGAAACAGTAAGATCCTATCTCTAAAATAAATAAAGTGTAAGCATTTGTGCATATATAAGTTCAAGCTCAAAATACTATCACTGGTTAAAGAAGCTTAGATTCATTTCGTTGTTATGAGGCTTAAATGAGATAAAAGTCCCTATGATAGTACTGAGCTCATAGCAGAGACCCAATAAATCCAAGTTATTTCCAACATTAATGTCTGACAAGATTTCAAATAATAAAACTTTATAAAACGTAAAGTCCATCAATACATCTTTAATCTTTTTTCCATTAAATACACAAAGATTTGTCTTCAAATAATATTCCTTTAAGAACAGATATCTTCTTATTTTTAAGAATAGATATCTTTAAGCAAAGTTTTCCTTTCTAATTTAAATATAAAAGGAGACTGAAATAGAGGTGTCAATGATTACTCTAAGATTTCTAACTTGTAAAACAAGACAAACTGAGAAAGGAAATACTATACACTGGTGAGGCTTTTGCTTTGTCTTGGGGCAAGAAGCTCATAGAGCCAGGTGCGGTGGCTCAAGCCTGTAATCCCAGCACTTTGGGAGGCCGAGGCGGGTGGATCACGAGGTCAAGAGTTCGAGACCATCCTGGTCAACATGGTGAAACCCCATCTCTACTAAAAATACAAAAAATTAGCTGGGCATAGTGGCACATGCCTGTAATCCTAGCTACTCAGGAGGCTGAGGCAGGAGAACTGCCTGAACCCAGGAGGCGGAAGTTGCGGTGAGCCGAGATCGTGCCATTGCACTCCAGCCTGGGAAACAAGAGCAAAACTCCATCTCAAAAAAAAAAAAAAAAAAAAAGAAGCTCATGACCATCCCCCATCTTTTAAAAAATTTATATAGAATGCTTGGAAAAGATGATTTTTGATAAGAAAGACTACTCTGAATTGTGGATAGATGTTACCAACAATTCCTAGATAATTTTTCATCCAATTATTGTTAAAGGAGAACATAATACATTAGCCTTTTAAATAAAGCAAGTACTAACATTTGTGCACAGGAGTTTTTATACTCAGACCAACTAATTACCTTTTGTAAGTAAGTAGTTTTCCATAGGATTTCCATATTAGCCTACACATATCTATACAGATAGATAAATTAGGTTGAGACTAACCATGGAATAAGGGCCTGCCTAATCAAACTTAACTACATGAGAAATAATCAGGGGAATAGGAACTTCAAACTTGCAAACCGTTTCTATTAAGCTTCATTTTAATAAGAATTTAAACGTTTTAGGGTATTTTCTTACCTGTACTTCATTCCAAATGTTTCCATAATGTATGCAATAACAAAGGCTGCACTGAAGAAGGGAAAACAATTTTAGAAAAAATAAAAAAATACAACTCAGTAATTAAATGTTACAGAAAGATTATTTCTAACATCATACCTTCTGGAGATCCCTGCATTTCCATGCACAAGAACTTTTCCTGAAAAACATGAATTAGTTATTCAAACAGAAAAACACCTGAGTCAGCAGCTGAAATATGTTGAAACCACAGTAAAGTAACTCTTTCCTTAAAAATATTTTAAATAATATACTACAACCACTTGGATATTAATTTTCAAATCTTTACAATTTGTTAATATTAACTGTGTAGAGAATAGAGCAGAATCTTATTAAAGAAACTGAAAGCCCACAGAGAATCTGAAGACAATCTACAGGGATACTCTAGAAAGCCTATCCAAATGAAACAAGTAACTGGGAAAACACAAATTGGGGAGTAAGCTACTACATATAATTCTAACTTTCATATCCTGCATTTAAGACAAATACCTACTAAAAAATTAACAAATAACCTAAATATAAACATTAACTAAGTAAAGGAAATATTATTTACCTCCTGTTTGTAAGCTCCCATCAATAAATTCCTTAGTCTGGAGGCAAAAGACATGTGGATTCACGTAAGCATAAAATAAACGCATATAATCAAACCTATTGAAAACAATTTCCTCCTACTTTATATGTATACAAATTATCTTCATTCACAGATTTACAAAATGGTACAAATAGAACAAGTGCAAAAAATTACAGAAGCCAAAATTTAATTTGAATCTAATAAAGTCAAAATATGATTCCTCAAATTTTTGGAGATCATAAAAAAATTTTCTACTCATTTTCTTTATAACATAATCACATAATTTTCAGTCACAGCAAAGTAAAAGTCCTAAGTTTCAGAAGCACAATTAAGAGGTCAAATCATAAATTTTAAACGATATTTTAAAAATATTGGTACCTACCATAGGGAAAAAACGTATTATGTTTTCAACTGGATTATCTGCAATATCCAGGACTAAATATCTGAAAATAGAGTATTTTGTGATAAGCACACTTTAAGTAAAATGTTAATGTATTTCTAAAAAGTAACTCATTATTTCTTGGTAACCATGACAAGAATGCAAAACAACTTTCAAAGTATCATATATCCAAGAACTGTGTGGTAGATTTTATATTGCTTGATGGCATAGCATTTAAAACCTGAAACACCATATTAACATCTCTGATATTTTATTATTTTTAAAAATCTATCAGACTGGGCAGAGTGGCTCATGCCTGAAATCCCAGCATTTTGGGAGGCCAAGGTGGGAGAATCACTTGTGCCCAGGAATTCGAGACCATCCTGAGCAAACAAAGGGACACTCAATCTTTATAAAATACTCTCTGAGTGGTCCTGTGACCCCTGCTCATAACCTACAGAGGACATTTAAGAGGAAGTCCAAAGTCTAAAAAAGAAGAAACTAATAAAAATGGAAGGCATGGTCTATGAGTCAAACATTCACTGTTTGAACTAATCTTCAGAAAGGCCAAAAAACAAACAAACAAACAAACAAACAAAAAAAACTGAACTAAACTAAAACTAGTTGAGAGAGAACCTGTCCTGAATTTTATACTTTACAAAATACTTAAAATAGGGCATTTTTAATTTGCTAGCTTATTTTATTTTGTAAAAAACTTCCATTTCTAACCTAAGACCACTGTTTATTAACACAACTATAGGTAATTAGCTAAGTTATTAGTTTTAAGGACAATTTTGCATTAAAAATTACAGTTTTTCAACAATCACTTAAGTGGTAACAACTTCAAAAAATTCAAGACTTTAACACAGAGAATCTGGGAGGTTGGACGTGGTGGCTCACGTTTGTAAGGTGAGCATTTTGGGAGGCCAAGACAGGCAGATCGCAGAGATCACAAGTTCAAGACCAGCCTGGCCAACATGGTGAAACCCCGTCTCTACTAAAAATACAAAAATTAGCCAGGCATGGTGGCGCATGCCTGTAATCCCAGCTATTCGGGAGGCTGAGCAGGAAAACTGCTTAAACCCAGGAAGTGGAGGTCGCAGTGAGCCAAGGTCGGGCCACTGTACTCCAGCCTGGGTGAAAGAGCAAGATTCTGTATCAAAACAACAACAACAAAAAACAAGAGAAGCTGAACCTCAGGATCTAAGGAAAATCCAATATTTAACCCACAAGAATTTCCACAATGACTGTATCCTCAAGTGATTGGGTATTCCAGTTATATAAAACAATGCTTCAGGGAAAAAATGTTAACTCAGAATGAAACTAAAATATTGTAACACATACCATTTTCAGTGTCAAGAATCACTAGTAGAACTATCAAATCTCTAAGAAGCTAGCAAAGAAAAGTTTAAGAAGAAATGGTTCTTCTATCAGGATAAAGACCCTGCACCAACAATACTGTTATTTAAAACAAAAATTCTGTACAAACTAGAAATGTATAGTATGTTTTTTTGACTGTTTTTTCTTAAGATTAGTTTCAACTTATATAGTTTGATATTATAAAATATAAGTCTATTTTCTTTAATAAATAACTCTATGCGTACATACAGAAATACACATAGACAACAGAGAAAGACTTAGAAGGAAATATGCCAAATGTTAACTAAAGCATTTTCTCTAGATTGTGGAATTGTGGATGATTTAAGTATTTTTCTTCCTGGTGTCATTCTGTACCTTCTAAAATACTTATAAGAATAAGTGCTTTATGGCCAGGTGAAGTGGCTCACGCCTGTAATCCCAACATTTTGGGAAGCTGAGGTGGGCAGATCGCTTGAAGTCAGGGAGTTCAAGTCCAGCCTGGGAAACCCCATCTACACAAAAAATTTAAAAAAATTAGCCAGGTCTGGTGGTGTGCACCTGTGGTCCCAGCTACTTGGGAGGCTGAGGCGGGAAGACTGATTGAGCCTGGGAGGTCAAGGCTATAGTGCACAGAGATCACACGACTGCAATCCAGCCTGCGTGACAGAGAGAAATCCTATCCAAAAAAAAAAAAGCTGGGCACAGTGGCTCACACCTGTAATCCCAGCACTTTAGGAGGCCAAAGCAGGTGGATCACGAGGTCAGAGGTTCAAGACCAGACTGACCAATATGGTGAAACCCCATCTCTACTAAATATACGAAAATCAGCCAGGCGTGGGGACATGTGTCTATAGTCCCATCTATTCCGGAGGCAGAGACAGGAGAATCGCTTGAACCTGGGAGGTGGAGGCTGCAGTGAGCCTAGATCGTGCCGTTGCACTTCAGCCTGGGTGACAGAGTGAGATTCCATCTCAAAAAAAAAAAAAAAAGTATTTCTTTCCTAATTATGAAAATATTCAGTGCTTTGGGATATTCCTTTTTAATAACTAGTTTTAATAAATTAAATATACTTTAAAAAAATTCTAGGGGGTTCCTTCTTTCAGCTTGGAGCACCCCTCCCTCTAGCTCTGTATAGCAGAGCCTCTTCCTTCTTGCCTATTAAATTCTCTGCTCCCTAAACCCCCCTCACCCCCAACACACAAATTCTAACAATACAAAGGTATATAGAGTCAGCCTTCTGTATCCAAGAAATTCACACTTGTGGATTCAACCAATGATGGATCAGAAACATTAACAAAAAATAAGGTAAAAAATAACACAACACTAAAAATAATATAAATAAAATCCAACACTATTCACATAGCACTTACATTGCACTAAGTATTATAAGTAATCTAGAGATGATTTGATGTTTATGGGAGGATTTGTACAGGTTGTATGCAAATACTATACCAGTTTATATAAGGGACTTGAGCATCTGAGGATTTTTGTTATCCATGGGGGTTCCTGGAGCCAATCTCCCAGAAAAACCAAGCATACAGTGAAAAATACGTCCTTCAGCTGGATGTGGTGGCTCAAGCGAGTAATCCCAGAACTTTGGGAGGCCAAGGTGGGTGGATCACAAGGTCAGGGTTTCAAGACCAGTCTGGCCAATATGGTGAAACTAAAAATACAAACACTGCCCAGGTTGGGTGTGTGCCTGTACTCCCAGCTACTTAGGAGGCTGAGACAGGAGAATCACTTGAACCCAGGCGGCAGAGGTTGCAGTGAGCTGAGACTGTACCACTGCACTCCAGCCTGCGTGACGGAGCAAAACTCTGTATCAAAAAATAAAATAGCCGGGTGCGGTGGCTCAAGCCTGTAATCCCAGCACTTTGGGAGGCCGAGGCGGGTGGATCACGAGGTCGAGAGATCGAGACCATCCTGGTCAACATGGTGAAACCCCGTCTCTACTAAAAATACAAAAAAAAACTAGCTGGGCGTGGTGGTGCGTACCCCTCCTAAGTAATCCCAGCTACTTAGGAGGCTGAGGCAGGAGAATTGCCTGAACCCAGGAGGCGGAGGTTGCGGTGAGCCGAGATCGCGCCATTGCACTCCAGCCTGGGTAACAAGAGTGAAACTCCGTCTCAAAATAAATAAAATAAAATAAAATAAAATAAAATAAAATAAAAAGAAAAGAAAACCAAGTCCCTTTAACATCATAGGCCCTGAATTTTCCTTCGTAGAAGTAATCACTATGAAGTTTCTAGTCGGTTGGTCCAGAAATTTTCAATGTATATACAAGAATAAATACACTTAATTTATATATATGTATATATATATATATATATTTTTTTTTTTTCTCAACACATTAGGAATACATACATTGTTCCATACCCTGCTTTGTTCGTATTTGCGTTATCTTGGAGATCAGTCCAAATCCAAACACATATATTTCATTCTTTTTCAGAGTTATACAGTATTCTACGTTCACACAATGTATTTTAGAGTATCTATCTTGTATTTACAGATATTTATAGGCTGATTTCATTTTATAAATAAAGCAGAGCACTAAAATTTTTCTTCCTTTTTTTTTTTTTTGAGATGGAGTCTTGCTCTGTCCGCCCAGGCTGCGGTGCAGTGGTGCAATCTCGTCTCACTACAACCTCCACCTTCCAGGTTCAAGCGATTCTCCTGCCTGAGTCTCCCAAGCTACTGGGATTACAGGCATTTGCCACCACGCCCAGCTAATTTTTGTGTTTTTAATAGAGACAGGGTTTTGCCATGTTGGCCAGGCTGGTCTCAAACTGCTGACCCTCAGGTGATCTGCCGACCTCGGCCTCCCAAAGTGTTGGGATTACAGGGGTGAGCCACCTCACCCAGCCTAAAATAAAATTTTTAACATATATACTTTTACATAGATGTTCAAAGAAGCAGCTGCCTCCTAGGAGAGGAGTAAGATGGCTTGGGTTTAGAAGAGAAAGTAGAGTAACTTTCAATATACATTTACATATCCTTTCACTTTTGTACCATGCATAATATACTCTACTTTAAAAACAAAGTTAGGCCGGGCACGGTGGCTTACGCCTGTAATCCCAGCACTTTGGGAGGCCGAGGCGGGTGGATCACGAGGTCGAGAGATCGAGACCATCCTGGTCAACATGGTGAAACCCTGTCTCTACTAAAAATACAAAAAATTAGCTGGGCATGGGCTCGTGCCTGTAATCCCAGCTATTCAGGAGGATGAGGCAGGAGAATTGCCTGAACCCAGGAGGCGGAGGTTGCGGTGAGCCCAGATCGCGCCATTGCACTCCAGCCTGGGTAACAAGAGCGAAACTCCGTCTCAAAAAAAAAAAAAAAGAACAACAAATGAGATACCATTTTTACTCCATTAAACTTGGAGAAATTAAAAATGTTTTATAATTCTATCTTGGGAGATATCAAGCAGAGTCACTCTCATACACTTGATAGTGGCAATGTAAACTGATAACTCACTGCAAAGTAATCTGTGACATCTATCAAAATTTTAAATGTCCATAATCTTACATACAGCAATTCTACAAATTTGTCCTATCAATGTGCTCACTTACAAATTGAATATTATGTACAATGATAGTCACTATATGGTATACATATTAGTATAAGGCCAGAAACAATCTAAATGTCCAACAGACTGATTAAATTTTAGTATAACCATACAACGGATTACAATGCAACCTAAAAAGAATAAAGCAGTTAGATGTAAGTACTGGTAGGAACCAATCTCCAAAAAATATAAAGTAAAAAATAATTTTTAAAAAGTCAATGTAAAAAACAGAAGTTATCTATAAGAATATGTTCATAAATTTAACATAACACTGGAAAGCTACTCAATAAAGAGGTAACAGTAGATACTGGCTTCCCTTTTTCTATCCCCTACTCAATTCCCTTATCCCTCAAGAGATAAAATAATGTACACTGAAACCTACTTTTCAGTATATGTTATTTTTAAATTCTTTTTTTTTTTTTTTTTTTTTTTTACTTTCCCGGAAACTTCTTGACAATATACATTCTTTTGAACCTTTAGAATCCTACATCTACATTATGGGCATAAATTATTTAAGTAGTTTAAGCAAGATTTATTTTTTAAAAACTAAGCCGGGCGCGGTGGCTCAAGCCTGTAATTCCAGCACTTTGGGAGGCCAAGGCGGGTGGATCACGAGGTCGAGAGATCGAGACCATCCTGGTCAACATGGTGAAACCCCGTCTCTACTAAAAATACAAAAAACTAGCTGGGCATGGTGGCGCGTGCCTGTAATCCCAGCTACCCAGGAGGCTGAGGCAGGAGAATTGCCTGAACCCAGGAGGCGGAGGTTGCGGTGAGCCGAGATCGCGCCATTGCACTCCAGCCTGGGTAACAAGAGCAAAACTCCGTCTCAAAAAAAAAAAAAAAAAAACAACTATGTACTGTGTGACCCATATTTACAAACTAGATAGGTACAGAAAAAACTGAACGTACAAAACCTGAAATGAAACTTCATTTAGTGTTTTACAAATTATAACAACATTTCTTACCTAAATAACTGTTGAAAGTTTGGTTTAATAAAGTTTGCTTCAATATTTTGTCGTATGCATATTATATGGGTTATTCCGTGTTTCTGCAGTATAGGTAGCTGTTTAAAAAAAAGCAAGGGGAGGGAGGACAGGGAAGATAAACATTTTAAAATACAAAACATCTTATTATAACACAGATGTTTGAAAATACATAGAACCCACATCTCTGCTTAAGTCCAGGGGATTAAAGCTAATTTTAGAATATACCTGAAGTGGGCAGCAAGAGATTTCAAAGATTCAAGTTAATACACTAATGTCCTAAAAAAGTTAACAGGGATATTTCATATCTATAATTTTAGAGCTTGATGTAAACTTTATGTAAGATATTTGGCATAGTGCCTGACACACAGAAGAAGTGTTTAATAAACAATAGTTATTATATATATTGACTGCAATCTTTATTCTTTAGAGGGAACTACTAAGACATAAACCAGTTACATTACAAATATTGGACATCACTGACCTAGTTAACAACAGTACCTGAGCCCAAATCTCTATAGACTACTCCTTGTCTCTCTCAGTATACTTTATGAGTCAGAATTAATTTACAGGCTTCACAAAATCTAATTAACCTTTCACCATTTAAAAATTCTCCTAAAGTAGAATCGTTTCAACCTGGGAGGCAGACGTTGCAGTGAGCTGAGATCGTGCCACTGCACTCCAGCCTGGACAAGAGCGCAAGCCTGTTTCAAAAATAAAATTTAAAAATCTCCTAAAGTTAAAAATGGCAACTTCAATAACATCTTACTATATCCATTCAGGTTGAGTATCCCTTATCCAAAATGTTGGCCCCAAAATAGGACCAGAAGTGTTTCAGATTTCAGATTTTGAAGTATTTACATATATATACTAAGATGTCTTGGGGATAGGATCAGTTTAAACACAAAATTCATTTATGTTTCACACATAACATATGCATACATCTGGAAGGTAATTCCATACAGTCATTTTGTGCATGAAACAACATTTTGACTGTGACCTATTACACGGGGTCAGGTGTGAAATTCACTTGTGTTGTCATACTGACAACTCAAAAAGTTTCAGACTTTGGAGCATTTCACATTTTCAGATTAGGGATACTCAACCTGTAGTTGCTTTTGGTTCCGTATTTAACATGACCAATTCTAGAAATTACCAAATAATATTCATTTGCAAGTGATTTTAAGTTTAAGTAAGTTTAGAGGTTATTTTATTACCTAGAGCATTAAGTTTCATGAGAGAAAAGATTTTTGTTTGTTCACTGATACACAGTATGTGTAAAATGTATAATACAATTCACCTTAAGTATGGTGTTTGTATAACTAGTTAAGTTGTTCAATAATTATCTGTTCAATAAATGAACTAACAAGTCATGATAGCATATGAATCAGATAACCTTGAATTTTCTGATACCTTCAGTTTAAAATCCTATATATTTAATTCCCACTTTAAATCATACAAAACAGTAGCACTAATAATTCATGAGTAAAAAAAATAATAATTTATATGTGTTATGAACTAAATGTTTGCATCACCTCAAATCCATATGGTGAAATCCTTACCCCCAAGATGTGATGGTACGGTCTTTGGGAAGGAATCAATTTTAGATTGAGGTCATGAGGGTAGAAACCTCCACGAAAGGATTTATATCTTACGAGAAGAGACAAGAACTCGCTCTCTTGGCTGTGTGAGGATACAGTAAGAAGGCAGGAATCTGCAAGCCAGCAAGAGGGTCCTCACCAGAACCAGACCATGACTTCAGACTTCCCAGCCTCCAAAACTCAGAGAAATAGCTGTCTGTTGTTTAAGCCGCTCAGTCTACGATATTTTTTTAGAGCAGCCTGAGCTAAAACAATATAATTTGCAAGTTTTAAGTGTTAATTTCTGCAGCAAGTTTTATGTCAGCATAGATTAGAATTCAATTATCCTTGTATTTCTTGAGTATAACCTGAGTTACGGAAAGTGAGAAGCATTCAGTAAAATTAATAATTAACCAATGCTCTATATTGAGATTTATGCCAATTTTCACAAAGAATTCAACATTAAGTCCTTCATTTACACCTGATGATCTATGGTGGAGTTTTCTTATCTACTTTATGAATATGAGAAAGTACATGATGACACACATAATTATGGATAAAGATACTTTAACAAGCATTGAAGGCCCATTAGACTTCTACTAAGTAAAAATAAACAATCAAAATAGAGTCCTAATATAACAGCAAATATAATTATTCTGTAATTTTCAAAGGCAGAACTGCAATTACTTTGCACCAACCTAATATAAAGCAAATTATGACATTCAAAAACAGTAGAAAAACTTTTCAAAAAGAAAGTGTACTAGTTACAAAGCCCCTAAATTTGTCCCTTTTATTTAAACTGTATTTGAATTTAATAAAAGATATACTTAAGTATACTTAAGTAAACATGGCCAGGCATGGTGGGTCATGCCTGTAATGCCAGTGCTTTAGGAAGCCAAGGTGGGAGGATCACTTGAGGCCAGGAATTTGAGACCAGCCTGGATAACATAGCCAGACCCCATCTCTACAAAAACTTTAAGAATTAGCCAGGCATGGTGGTGCGTGCCTAGAGTCCCAGCTACTTGGGAGACTGAAGTGGGAAGACAGTTTGAGCCCAGGATTTCGAGGTTACAGTGAGCTATGACCAAGCGCAACTGTACTCCAGCCTGGATAACAGAGTAAGACCTTGCCCCTCTCTCCCACAAAATAATAACAACAATAAATGAGTGTTTAAAAAGGAGTTTATTGGGCCAGGTGCGGTGGCTCAAGCCTGTAATCCCAGCACTTTGGGAGGCCGAGGCAGGTGGATTGTGAGGTCAAGAGATCGAGACCATCCTGGTCAACATGGTGAAATCCCATCTCTACTAAAAATACAAAAATAGATAGCTAGGCATGGTGGTGCGTGCCTGTAATCCCAGCTACTCAGGAGGCTGAGGCAGGAGAATTGTCTGAACCCAGGAGGCGGAGGTTGCGGTGAGCTGAGTTCGCGCCATTGCACTCCAGCCTGGGTAACAAGAGTGAAACTCTGTCTCAAAAAAAAAAAAAGGAGTTTATTCATTTAGGTTTATCTTCATTAGTATTTTTTGTTTTTAGATAATGGTATGAAAAGAAATATGGGCTATAACATGGTTACTTAGGGTGGGAAATATAAAATACTGCCATAGAGGCTTTTTCTCTAATAAGACCATGATGGAATTTCAAGAAAAGAGATTTTGAAGAGCTAGACGTTTTTGTGTGTGTGTGTGTTTGTTTTGTGTGGCTCAGATTACAGACGTGTACTACCTGCCCAGCTAATTTTTGTATTTTTAGTAGAAGCAGGGTTTTGCCATGTTGGCCGGCTGGTCTTGAACTACTGGCCTCACGTGATTTGCCTTCCCAAGACTCCCATTGAGGAGACAGACTTTTAAACAAATAATGACATTTAATGTGATAAATACTGTACGTATATTTATAAGGTACAGTGAAACTTTTTTTTTTTTGAGACGGAGTTTCGCTCTTGTTACCCAGACTGGAGTGCAATGGCGCGATCTCGGCTACCGCAACTTCCGCCTCCTGGATTCAGGCAATTCTCCTGCCTCAGCCTCCTGAGTAGCTGGGATTACAGGCAAGCGCCACCATGCCCAGCTACTTTTTTTGTGTTTTCAGTAGAGACGGGGTTTCACCATGTTGACCAGGATGGTCTCGATCTCTCGACCTTGTGATCCACCCGCCTCGGCCTCCCAAAGTGCTGGGATTATAGGCTTGAGCCACCGTGCCCGGCAGTACTGTGGAATTTTTAAAAAGTAAATTATATAAAACCATCTTGAGCACTAGTACTTGGTGAATAGCAAATTATATGGACAATAACCTTGTTTATATCTGCCTTTTACAAAATAAATTACAGCTATGTCTACAGTTACTTGCCCTATCCTTTCCCTATAACTTACTTTTTTTTTTTTGAGACGGAGTTTCGCTCTTGTTACCCAGGCTGGAGTGCAATGGCAGGATCTCGGCTCACCGCAACCTCCGCCTCCTGGGTTCAGGCAATTCTCCTGCCTCAGCCTCCTGAGTAGCTGGGATTACAGGCACGCGCCACCACGCCCAGCTAGTTTTTTTGTATTTTTAGTAGAGACGGGGTTTCACCATGTTGACCAGGATGGTCTCGATCTCTCGACCTCGTGATCCACCCGCCTCGGCCTCCCAAAGTGCTGGGATTACAGGCTTGAGCCACTGCGCCCGGCCTGAACTTACTTTTATTAACTCCCTATCTTTCCAACTAAGGAGAGTCATCAAGATGACCAGGGTTTACTTTTACCCCTGTCTCAACAATGAAAACAACCTTCTAGTTTCAAAATGAATGACCTTTTAAAACTCCCACCCCGCTTAAATTCCTAAGAGTATCAAATTATATTACGGAGATATCAAATACAATTTTTTTTTTTTTTTTTTTTTGAGATGGAGTTTCGCTCTTGTTATCCAGGCTGGAGTGCAATGGCACGGTCTCAGCTCACCACAACTTCCGCCTCCTGGGTTCAGGCAATTCTCCTACCTCAGCCTCCTGAGTAGCTGGGATTACAGGCACGCGCCACCATGCCCAGTTACTTTTTTGTATTTTTAGTAGAGATGGGGTTTCACCATGTTGGCCAGGATGGTCTCGATCTCTTGACCTCGTGATCCAACCGCCTCGGCCTCCCAAAGTGCTGGGATTACAGGCTTGAGCCACCGCGCCCGGCAAATACAATTTAACTATACTGACTTCTGAAGAGGCAAAGTATTGGGGAAAGACATTTGTATGTATTTCATGTTGTAAGTCAAAGAGAATTAGTAGCATTGAATCTTTAGATGTGGCAAGAACATTGATATATTTATTAAAATGAGATCTACCTATTTTAACTTCAACTGAGTTAAGTCCATTAAAGTTTGACTATGTAGAATACAGACTGAATATCCCCTATCTAAAATGCCTGGGACCAGAAGTATTTCAGAGTTTGGATTTTTTTTGTTTGTTTTGTGTATTTGCATTATACTTACTGGATGAGCATCCCTAATCCAAATATCTGAAATCTGAAATACTCCAATGAGGATTTCCTTCGAGTGACATATTGGTGCTCAAAAGTTTCAAATTTCAGATCAGGAATACCAGTCAGACCTCCAAAGTCTGGCTGGCAAACAGAACTAAGGTGAATCACTTTCAGTTTATACAAACAGTCTTACCCTTGATAAGGAAGGCTTAACTAAACATTGAAATTCCTTATTTTGGGCTTTATATCTCATATTGTTCTGAAGCTATATTAGCAATTACAGATGTCTAATATTTTAGAGAATAAATAAGTTATTAACAGTCAACTGTTAGATAAATCTTTCAAAAATATGAATTTCATGAGAAAAAAACAAAAACTCTATGGTGAAACACTTGAGAACTACTGATCTAGTAAAATCAGGAAAGAGGAAGGTACTCCAGAGTGATAATTACTGATAACAGACAGTATTTGTTGATGCTCCCTAAAATAAAACTATTAGTAAAGAACTTACCCAAGAAAAGTTTGTTAATAAAAGTCTCTCTTGGTGAATCTAACATACCTTGCTTTTCATAGCAGATGAATATGGGCCTAAGAATAATCCAGGTAAAATTTCCTAGAAAAAAAAAATTGAGATATTTACTATCAGCAATTTAAATGTATAAAAATATGTACCACATAACTGAATTTGTGGGGTGTTTCCATAGTTGTTAAAATAATTTGCTTAAAGTTTGTTAATGGCCAGGTGCAGTGGCTCATGCCTGTAATCCCAGCACTTTGGGAGGCTCAGGTGGGCAGATCACAATGTCAAGAGATCATCCTGGACAACAGAGTAAAACCCCATTTCTACTAAAAATGCAAAAATTAGCTGGGAGTGGAGGCACACGCCTGTAGTCCCAGCTACTCAGGAGGCTGAGGCAGGAGAATCATTTGAACCCAGAAGACAGAGGTTGCAGTGAGCCAAGATCATGCCACTGCATTCCACCCTGGCAACAGAGCGAACCTCCATCTCAAAAAAAGGTTGGAATTAGTACATCGTAATGTTGCATTTTAGATTAATAAAATATTTTAAATTTTACTTCTATTTTCTGCTATAATCTAGAAATAAAATAGACATAAAGGAAATCATCCCTTTGGACCTACACAAAACCATATTTGGCCAAATCAAAAGCAGAACAAGATACAAGAAGATTGGAACTGTTATCTATTTTTTTTCATCTTTTTTTTTTCTTTTAAAAATAGAGATGAGGTCTCACTATGTTGCCCAGGCTGGTTAGGAACTCCTAGATGAAAGCAATCCTTCTGCCTCAGCCTCCCAAACTGCTGGAATTACAGACATGAACTCCCGTGCCCAACCTGAAACTATTATCTATAGTTAACAGAAGCAAATTCTTTTTTTTTTTTTTTTTTGAGACAGAGTTTTGCTCTTGTTACCCAGGCTGGAGTGCAATGGCGCGATCTCGGCTCACCGCAACCTCCGCCTCCCGGGTTCAGGCAATTCTCCTGCCTCAGCCTCCTGAGTAGCTGGGATTACAGGCACGCGCCACCATGCTCAGCTGATTTTTTGTATTTTTAGTAGAGACGGGGTTTCACCATGTTGACCAGGTTGGTCTCGATCTCTTGACCTCGTGATCCACCCGCCTCGGCCTCCCAAAGTGCTGGGATTACAGGCTTGAGCCACCGCGCCCGGCCCAGAAGCAAATTCTTAATGTAACATTAGAAGTTCAAACTCAAATATGTGCCTGTTGACAAAGTTTCAACAATTTAAATATGTACCTTCCAGATGATGAATTCAAATTTATTCTATGTAAATTCAATATAGAAAGCTTTCAGTCCAGATCTGTCACACCCTAGATACTAATAGTAATTTTACAGTTCAGTTCTATGAGTCATAATTATTTGTATCTATGACTGATTTCTCACATTTAGTCATCTTTGCATTCCTCACAGCACCAAGTAAATGCCTCACAGGTACTCATATACTTTTTCAAAGTGAATTTTCATTAAAAGATCAAGAAACAGATTTTTAGGCCGGGCGCGGTGGCTCAAGCCTATAATCCCAGCACTTTGGGAGGCCGAGGCGGGTGGATCACAAGGTCGAGAGATCGAGACCAACCTGGTCAACATGGTGAAACCCCGTCTCTACTAAAAATACAAAAAATAGCTGGGCATGGTGGCACGTGCCTATAATCCCAGCTACTCAGGAGGCTGAGGCAGGAGAATTGCCTGAACCCAGGAGGCGGAGGTTGTGGTGAGCCGAGATCGCGCCATTGCACTCCAGCCTGGGTAACAAGAGCGAAACTCCGTCTCAAAAAAAAAAAAAAAAAAAAGAAACAGATTTTTAGAAGTCAAGGAATTCCCAGCAACAAGATACTGCTTAATCTTGGGGCAAACAGAGTTGACTGTAAATGGTACAAAATACAAAAGAAATGAACTGCTATGATGGTTAGTTATCATTTAATTCATTCCAAACTGAAAGTATTCCATTTGATCTTCTGAAAGACTTAATTATGGAAGCTGATTGAAAATCAGACACAAAATGAACAACACTTATTTGCTGTATAGTCAACCTCCTTATCTAGACAAAGAAAGCAAACTGCTTTCAAAAGGAATACAAAGATAGTATTCAATTTTCACGTGAGGAAAAAGAGACTCATTAAGCACATATACCTATTACTACGTTCCTCTTCCTAATCTCCCATCTTTTTAAGATCCAAGATGAACCTTAAATATTTAAAATAATTAATTATTTAAAATACATAATGATGAACCTACAGATCATGAATCAGCAGGTCTCAGATCCTGTAAACTAACTTTGTTTCTATGATAATAACAGGTTGGTTTGAACAAACAAAAGATTGCCATACCTGCATCTCTCGTCTCATAGGGTAGGTCCACTCCTTTAAAATGGGAGGAAAACAAAGAATAAAAGTAAATAACATTTAAAAAGTCACCCAATTAAAGGCTAAAGATGTGACATACAAGTAAGCAGATTTTTTAAAGTTACATTATTCTTTTAAGAACATTTTATAAAAATACCAGACTTGGCCGGGCGCGGTGGCTCAAGCCTGTAATCCCAGCACTTTGGGAGGCCGAGGCGGGTGGATCACGAGGTCGAGAGATCGAGACCATCCTGGTCAACATGGTGAAACCCTGTCTCTGCTAAAGGTGCAAAAAATTAGCTGGGCATGGTGGCGTGTGCCTGTAATCCCAGCTACTCAGGAGGCTGAGGCAGGAGAATTGCCTGAGCCCAGGAGGCGGAGGTTGCGGTGAGCCGAGATCGCGCCATTGCACTCCAGCCTGGGTAACAAGAGTGAAACTCCGTCTCAAAAAAAAAAAAAAAAAAAAAAAAATACCAGACTTGTGTGGCTTCACAAACATCTGAAAATTTAAGTGAACAAGAAACAAAGCTTAAGGCATTCTTCATATAACTGGGCTTCCAGAATTATGTTACTTCATATAATTGGTGAAATTGCTCACTAAAGAACCAAATAGATATTCCAGAAGATTCTTCCAAAAACTGATCTTCTAAGAGATGTCAGTAGATTTTTTGTTTCTCATTTTTTGTTTCTCAACTCTAATCAACTGACAGTGGATAACTAAAACATTGTGTGGTCCAAGATTCAGAAAGAGAGTGTCTGATTAACAAATAATATCTTCAATAGATAAAAGACGGAATGCTATGTGATGCATACTTGCCACCTCTGATCTAAAACGCCAAATGCTTATCAAAGAGCCTTTCCTACATCTTACTTGGCCTAACATTCTTATCTAGTTCAATTATTTTAACACATAATCACAAGACAGAGACTTCGCTTTGTTTTTGAAATGCAGACCAATATGAAGAAGTTGCAAAATAACACAAAATCCCAATGTTAAAAGACAAAAAATATTTTAAAAGTTAGAAAAAGATAAAAGTAATTATAGTGAACTGAAATGAAGAATCGAAATACAGTATAAAGCCAGGCTCTGTGGCTCATGCCTGTAATCCTAGCACTTTGGGATGCTGAGGCAGGCAGATTGCTTGAGGTTAGGAGTGTGATGAGACTAGCCTGGGCAACAGGGGAAACCCCTTCTCTACTAAAAATACAAAAAAAATTAGTTGGGCATGGTGGCGCCTGCCTGTAGTCCCAGCTACACAGGAGGCTGAGGCAGGAGAATCACTTGAACTTGGGCAGCAGAGATTATCATAAGCCGAGATCATGCCACTGCACTCCAGCCTGGGCAACCGAGTGAGACTTGGACTCAAAAAAAAAAAGGAAATATGGCCAGGCACGGTGGCTCACGCCTGTAATCCCAGCACTTTGGGAGGCCGAGGCGGGTGGATCACGAGGTCGAGAGATCAAGTCCATCCTGGTCAACATGGTGAAACCCCGTGTCTACTAAAAATACGAAAAATTAGCTGGGCATGGTGGCACGTGCCTGTAATCCCAGCTACTCATAAGGTTGAGGCAGGAGAACTGCCTGAACCCAGGAGGCGGAGGTTGCGGTGAGCTGAGATCGCGCCATTGTACTCCAGCCTGGGTAACAAGAGCAAAACTCCATCTCAAAAAAAAAAAAAAGGAAATATGTAATGAATTGGCTTTCAGCATACAATACTTACATCATTAGCCATTAGGCTTTAAGCATTACCTCTATCCCTATGATACAATATGAAATACATGGTCTTTCTCTACGCTTCCTGTCACAGGCCTCCTAGAACTCTTGAAATTTTCTGAGTAATAGGAGTATCTTTGGTTATTCATGAGCCACTTTTGATCAAACCTGATTATGCTAATGATGTGATTTCAGGTAGGGGACAGTCACCAGAAAGACCATGAGACTAAATGGTTGAACTCTCAGTCTTAACCACACACATCTATGGGAGGGGCTGGAGATGAAGTTCTATAAAAACTGTTTAATAAGATTTGTTGAGCTTCTGGATGAACATGCTGGAGGTGCCAGTGAGGCAGGTGAATAGGGTCTGGAGGCAGGGAACCTAAGGCTGTTTCACCCAGACGTCCCAGAACTAAATTGAAAGGAAAACCCTAACTTTCCACACCTAAGTAACAAAAGGACCAGATGCTACCAGATGCTACTCCCTTTGCAAACCTGCCACCTTTTCCCCATGGCAGATGGAAAACTGGCTGTTCTTAAGAAATCAGACTGATTGCCAGTGGAGCCTTTGTTTGCAATTTTATAACTTCACTCTAGTCTCTGAACGGTTGCTGTCTACAATCAAGAAGACTGATGAGGGGGGTGTCTTCCTTTGCATAGAAGTATAACTTTGTAACTTCACCCTTGACCAATTGCAAGCCACCACTTCATTTACATGAGGTGAGCAGGAAGTGGTCAATGGGAAACTTCTGGGGGTATTTGGACCCAAGAAGATTCTGTAAACTGAGTCTGCTCCAGCTGCTCCCATACTATGGAGTGTACTTTTGTTTTCAACAAATCCCTGCCTTTGTTCTTTTGTTGCTTCATTCTTTCTTTGCTTTGCTGGGCGTTTTGTGCAATTCTTTGTTTAAAACACCAAGAACCTGGACAACTTGCAGTCACAACCCTCTACCAGTGACACTGGGATGGTGGTGTACACTCCTTCTCCCATGCCTTGCCGTATTCATCTGTTCCTTCTGGCTGTTCACTGCATCTTTTGTAACATCCTTTAAATAAACCAGTAAATGTACTTCCCTGAGTCCTGTAAACCACTACAGCAAGTTAACTGAACCAAGGAAGGGGTAATGGGAACCATGATTTTCAGTTAGTCAAGAGTATAGTAGACAACCTACTACTTGTGATTACCATCTGAAGTTGGGGGCAGTCTTGTGGGACTGAGCCACTAATCTGTGGGATCTGACTAACTTCTGGTACTAATGTGTCAGCATTGAATTATGGGATATCCAGTTCATGCATGCTTGAATAATTGGTTGGTGTGGAAAAAAACCCACACATCTGGCAGCATAGAGTGTGTTTTCAACAGTCCCACACAGAAAAGACAGATAAATTCTTCTTTTTAGAGACAGTCTCACACTGTCACCTGGGCCGGCCTACAGTAGTGCAATCTTGGCTCACTGCAACTTCCGCCTCCCAGATTCAAGCAATTCTCCTAACTCAGTCTACCAAGTAGCCGGGATTACAGGTGCCCATCAAGCAATTCTCCTGCCTCAGTCTACCAAGTAGCTGGGATTACAGGTGCCCACCACCACACCTGGCTAATTTTTTTTTTTTCTGTATTTTTAGTAAAGACAGGGTTTCACTATGTTGGCCAGGCTGGTCTCCAATGCCCAACCTCGAGATCCACCCACCTGGGCCTCAAAAAATGTGTTGGGATTATAGGCATGAGCCACTGCACCTGGCCAGCTATATTCTTTTTAAATAATCAGTTTGGTGTACAAAGCTTTTTGTCCAGGCTCAGTGGCTCATGCCTGTAATCCCAGCACTTTGGGAGGCCAAGGGGGGCATATCACTTCAGGTCAGGTATTGGAGACCAGCCTGGCCAACATGGTGAAACCATCTCTACTAAAAATACAAAAATTAGCCAGGTGTGGTGGTGGGTGTCTGTAATCCCAGCTACTTGGGAGGCTGAGGAAGGAGAATCGTTTGAACCAGGGAGGTGGAGGTTGCAGTGAGCCAAGATCACGACATTGCACTCCAGCCTGGGCAACAAGAGCAAAACTCCATTGCAAAAATAAGTAAATAAACGCATACTCCTCATTCACATTATTGCATGTTAAGTATAAACTCATTTTAATAACCAGCCTAAATATGACCTCCTTTTTTCTTATTTAAGAGTATATTCTTGGGCCAGGTATGGTGGCTCACACCTGCAATCCCAACACTTTGGGAGGACAAGGCAGGAGGATCTTAAGGCCAACAGCTGGGGGCCAGCCTGAGCAACAAGCCCATCTCTACAAAAAAAGGGAAAAAAAAAAAAATTTACCCGGGCATGGTAGCTCCCGCCTGTAGTCCTAGCTACTGGGGAGGCTGAGGTGAAGGGATGGCTTGAGCATGGGAGGTTGATACTGCAGTGAGCCAAGATGGCACCACTGCACTCCATTTTGCAATGCCAATACCCAGTCACAAACAAAGTCCCTACTCTTAAAACAAATGTAACTGTCAAGCATCATTATCACAAGAGAGCCCTCCAAACAAAAATGTGAACCCCAAATGAAGATATTCAACAGAATATTAGGAATAAATTGGTCTCCTAAAAATAGGGCTTTAGCCGGGCGCGGTGGCTCAAGCCTGTAATCCCAGCACTTTGGGAGGCCGAGGCGGGTGGATCACCAGGTCGAGAGATCGAGACCATCCTGGTCAACATGGTGAAACCCCGTCTCTACTAAAAATACAAAAAATTAGCTGGGCATGGTGGCACGTGCCTGTAATCCCAGCTACTCAGGAGGCTGAGGCAGGAGAATTGCCTGAACCCAGGAGGCGGAGGTTGCGGTGAGCCGAGATCGCGCCATTGCACTCCAGCCTGGGTAACAAGAGCGGAACTCCGTCTCAAAAAAAAAAAAAAAAAAAAAGGGCTTTATTTTCCCAATTACTTTAAAGATATTTATAACTAGAGATTTTAGATGTTTTTTCTTAATCCTATTAAAGTATAGCTGAGATTCTTTGTCTTCTTAATTTAACCTCCAGAAAATTCTAATTTAGTAGTCTGCAATGCCGTCAGATGTTAAACTAGCAATAGCTGGAGAAAAAAAAATCCCAGTAAAAACAGCATGCAAGGATGTAAGGTGGAATAAAAATAACCACAAATTAGAAACCAGGAGAAAAGGTACATAGAATCTTAGTTTCAATATTAATTTTCCTCCAAAAAGGAAGATTTCTGATTAAAGTTCCCAGATTCAGATGAGCTAGCTTTGAGACACTTTACTGTGCAGGTCATAGCTTTGTCTAAAAACAAACAAGAAACTTTGGGGAACTTTTCGAAGGCGCGCTTTCAAACTTCAGGCGCCGGGTCTATTCCACATGTGGGGCCATGTGTCCCGCAAGTAAATCGTTTACACCACCGATATTCCTCAAATGGAGATTAAAACCAACTTCGCTCTCGTATTATTTTGACAATAAAAGAGGAATCTTACTCCAGGTCAGTCCTGGACGCCAAGCCTAAGGACTAAGGGATTGCTTTTCCTCTTCTCAAATTTAAGTACACCGGACGCTGCCCCTTCCCGAGGTCTGGAGAGAACGAAGAGCTCAGTCGGGACTGGCGCCGAACGCTCGGCCTCAGAGGTCCCGGGACGCCCACAGGAGGCAGGGCGCCCGCGAAGGTGGAGGCTGCGACGGTTGGGGCCTGGGGTCGCCCCTCGGCCGAAGCCACGAGGAGAGGCCTGTGCGTGGCAGCCACGGGGCCGACTTACCTCGGCGTCTTCTTTACACTGTGGAAGGGAAGGGAACTCCAGCTTCACGTCCTCCATGGTCCTGGCCCGCGGGCTGGTGGGTGGGGTAGGAGAGTGTTACCCGGCCGGCCGACGCTCGGGCTGGCTGCGGCGACGGAAGGAAGGAGGGCCGTGGAGCCGAGGGCTGACAGGAGGGCGGCGGGCTTACAACTAACACAGGCCAACTAGAGGCTCCCAGTGACTCCAGCGGTGGCGGCGACGAAAATGGGGAAGAGGAGGGTCGGGCTTCTTATACCCGGCCGCCATGCCGCTGCCGTCTCCTTCCCCGCGAGTCTCCGCGCCCCTCACACCGCCCAGGATCCAGCACCGACACCAGCCCGACAACTGTCTCCCCGCCTCCCTCCTGCCCCTCCAACCGCGCCGCCTCAGCCAATCCCAGCCCACGCTCGCCTTTGGCCCGCCCTCCGCCGCCGCCAGGTGTCAGCGCGCCACCGCCCTGCTCCGCCCCTTCGTGAGAGCGCAGACGCAGTTGTGGGGGGTGGGGGAGAGTGGCGCCTCGGGGGCGGGGCCTGGGAGGCAGCTAGGCCACAGCGCACCCGGCGTTGGGGAGGCGGGGCTGCGGTGGAACAGGACGAGTGAAGGTCCTGGGAAAGGCAGTGGGTAGGTCCAAGCCAGCTATGCCCTTTCCAAACAGGACGTAGAGCCTTTCTTTAATACAAGACCAAACAGCGAGGGCCAGGGTCAGTTAGTGGCTCACGCCTGTAATCCCAGCACTTTGGAAGCCTCAAGCAGGCAGATTACTTGAGGTCGGGAGTTCGAGACCAGCTTGACCAACATGGAGAAACTCCGACTGAAAAAAAAAAAAAATGGTGGCATATGCCTGTACTCACCAGACAGTGGCGTCCGAAAGGAAAGCTATAATTTCTCCCCTCTCAAATTTCTGTGCAATCTATGCTGAGGTTATAACCAAATGACTAATAAGTGAAGAGTTTAGTTTAAAATCACGTGGTGCCACACAGAAAATGAAACCCCCATCATTTTTAGGCAAAGAATTAAACGACTCAATACTTTAAAAATCTCTCAAACTAGGGCCGGTCGCGGTGGGTCATGCCTGTAATGCCAGCCTTTGGGAGGCCGAGGTGGGTGGATCACTAGGTCAGGGTATCAAGACCATCCTGGCTAACACGGTGAAACCTTGTCTCTACTAAAAATACAAAAATTTAGTCGGGCGTGTTGGCACACGCATTTAGTCCCAGCTACTCGGGAGGCTGAGGCAGGAGATTCGCTTGAACTCAGGAGGTGGAGGTTGCAGTGAGCCGAGATGGTGCCACTGCACTCCAGCCTGGGTGACAGAATGAGACTCCGTCACCAAAAAAAAAAGAGTACTTGAAAATACAACTCAGTTTAGATTACCTAGAAAATCTCAAGAAAGAATGGCAAGTAGAAAAGAATCAGAAAAAGAAAAAGATAGCTGACTCAGTATGTATATAATACTGTAAAGTTTCTTCCATTAATTCCGTTTATTAACATTTAAAATAAAATTAATAAACCACATGGCTTTCAATATCTTTTATTTATTTATTTATTTATTTATTTATTTATTTATTATTTTTAGACAGAGTCTAGCTCTGTCGCTAGGCTGTAGTACAATGGTAGGATCTCGGCTCGCTGCCAACCCCCGCCTTCCGGGTTCAAGCGATTCTCTTGCCTCAGCCTCCCGAGTAGCTGGGACTACAGGCACGCGCCATCACAGCCCAGCTAATTTTTGTATTTTAAGTAGAGACGGCGTTTCACCATGTTGGCCAGGATGGTCTCGATCTCTTGATCTCGTTATTCACCTGCCTCGGCCCCCCAATGTGCTGGGATTACAGGCGTGAGCTACTGCGCCCAGCCGGCTTTCCTTATCTTTTAAAGGGAGTTTGCCAGCCTGGGCAAAATAGTAAGCCTTCGTCTCTAAAAAACAATCTTTTTAAATTACCTGGGCACAGTGTCATGTGCCTGTAAACCCACAATGAAAAGATTTGTACACCAAATTGATTCTTTAAAAGCAACCACCCACCAGGCCAGGCACAGTGGCTCATGCCTGTAATCCCAGCACTTTGGAAGGCTGAGGCAGGTGGATCACGCAGTCTAAAGATGGAGACTATGCTGGCCAATATGGTGAAACCCATCTCTACTAAAAATATAAAAATTGACTGGATGTGGAGGCGTGCGCTGGTAGTCACTGCTACTCGGGAGGCAAAGGCAGGTGAATCGCTTGAACCCAGGAAGCGGAGGTTGCAGTGAGCCGAGATGGCACCACCGCACTACTCCAGCCTGTCAACAGAGGGAAACTCAGTCTCAAAAAGCAAAGCAAAACCAAACCACCACCAGCACAAAAGTAAAATGCAATATAATTAACTAAAATGCAAACTATAAGTGAAAAGATCACAGAGATATTTGACCTAGACCTCCCCATACATTCTATTTTTTTTTTTTTTTTTTTGAGACGGAGTTTTGCTCGTTACCGAGGCTGGAGTGCAATGGCGCGATCTCGGCTCACCGCAACCTCCGCCTCCTGGGCTCAAGCAATTCTCCTGCCTCCGCCTCCTAAGTAGCTGGGATTACAGGCACGCGCCACCACGCCCAGCTAGTTTTTTTTTTTTTTTTTTTTGTATTTTTAGTAGAGACGGGGTTTCACCATGTTGACCAGGATGGTCTCGATCTCTCGACCTCGTGATCCACCTGCCTCGGCCTCCCAAAGTGCTGGGATTACAGGCTTGAGCCACCGCGCCCGGCCGTCTATTTTTTTTTTTTTTTTTTTTTTTTTTTTTTGCTGGAGTTCAGTGGCATAATCTTGGCCCACTGCAACCCCCACCTCCAGGGTTCAAGTGATTCCCTGCCTCAGCCTCCCGGATTACAGGCATCCACCACCAAGCCTGGTTAATTTTTGTATTTTTAGTAGAGACAGGGTTTCACCATGTTGGCCAGGCTCGTCTTGAACTCCTGACCTCGAGATCTGCCCACCTTGGCCTCCCAAAGTGCTGGGAATATAGGCATGAGCCACCACACCCGGCCCACTCTACTCTTTATATTGTCACATAAAATGCACTGCCAGGCCGGGCGCGGTGGCTCAAGCCTGTAATCCCAGCACTTTGGGAGGCCGAGGCGGGTGGATCACAAGGTCAAGAGATCGAGACCATCCTGGTCAACAGATCGAGACCATCCTGGTCAACATGGTGAAACCCCGTCTCTACTAAAAATACTAAAAATTAGCTGGGCATGGTGGCGTGTGCCTGTAATCCCAGCTACTCAGGAGGCTGAGGCAGGAGAATTGCCTGAACCCAGGAGGCGGAGGTTGCGGTGAGCCGAGATCACGCCATTGCACTTCAGCCTGGGCAACAAGAGCGAAACTCCGTCTCAAAAAAAAAAAAAAAAAAAAAAAAAAAAAAAAGCACTGCCAACACATAGAAATAGTGTAATAAATGTAAACTGTATAATAATGAGTATTAGATGGCCAACTTGAGCACTCCATTTTCTCTATCACTATTTTAACTGTTCTTTACCTTTTAAAATTAAAGGCACTTAACGTCCTGCTAGGAAGTTTTTAATTTGAAGATTAATTGTATAATTAGCTACATCATATATTTTTCTTTAGTCTTTATGAAACTGAAGTTGTCTTTTTTAAACCAGTATATTTGATAAGATAATTCCCAATGATGATTCCTTTGTGTAATTTGTTATAGCTTATAGCTTTTACTGCCATATGAGAAAGAATCATGTATAGGTAACAGAAATCTTGTTTTGAACATTCCTAACATTCCTACGCTGCCTACATCACACACTTTTAGTCAAGTATCCACAGATACCTAAAGAGTCCTTGGATGAGCTTGGGAAACTATAAATTTCCTGAAATTATAGGATATGTGAAATTGTGTGTGTAAGTATGTTAGAATTTTTCCTGGAAGAGAGTCCAGACCTTCACATCCTCAACAGGGACCTATCACATTACATAAATCAAGAAAACCAAGTCACATATTAGCAAATATTACTTTTAATAATACTCTTTAAAAAGTTATGGATGTCATGTATATTTTCAATTAGCCAACAAAGAACTTAATCACAGTAGATCAAGAATATTTAAATACTTCCCGGAAGACGAAAAGTATAGATATACCCAAGCATTCATGTTTTATTTAAGAAGATGATCTTATCAACACCAAGTTTTATGTATTATTTTAAAATAATATTCAAAAATCCACAATCCATCTGGGTTATCAAATCGTTTACTTACTAAAGAACCTAAAGGACCACAGTAAATATGCTCTTAGAAAAGACAATAATAGGCCAGGCGCAGTGGCTCTCACCTATAATCCCAGCACTTTGGGAGGCCAAGGCAGGCAGATCATGAGGTCAGGAAATTGAGACCATCCTGGCCAACGTTGTGAAACCCTGCCTCTGATAAAAACACAAAAATGAGCTGGGCATGGTGGTGAGTTCCTGTAATCTCAGCTACTTGGGAGGCTGAGGCAGGAGAATCGCTTGAACCAGTGAGTCAGAGGTTGTAGTGAGCCAAGATCGAGCCACAGCACTCCAGCCTGGTGACAGAGCAAGAGACTCCGTCTCAAAAAAAAAAAAAAAAAAAAAAAAAAGGGCAAGACAAGACAAGAATATATATGTAGGAGAACCAAATCAAACAGATTTTATTCAACTTTTTAGATAAAGAAAACAAATGATATAAAATAAGTCATAAGAAATGCTTTCTTATACCACTATCTCAAACCACTCTCAATGTTTTACAAAATACCCACACAGCAAATTCGAAAGGCTTCAACACACTCTTCCTTTGTAACTTGCTGCAATAAATGCAATATTAACACACAAATTTCTTCTGTGTAAGTTGTTACTAATTTTTATGTTACTCAGACATATTTTTATTCATACACTTTTAATGACATCATTGCCAATACATACATTATTTTCTTTAATTTTATTTTTACATAAAGCCAACATCTGTCATGCAGCCATCAAAAATCTTACAGTAAATTACACAGGTTTGTAGTCCAATTTAGACTCTAGCTTCTTAGAATCAGCCACTTTTCTGACTGCTTTCATGAAGTCTTCCTGTACTACAAAATCATGATCAGCACGAATTGCAAACATACCTGTGGAGAATAAAACAACATGACTGCTATATACCACATGTGAATTATATGCTCATTATAATTAAAACAATATAATTCTATGGAATAAATGTGAAGCTTAGATTTATTACTTCTGAGCCAGTAGTTCTAATTTGCTAAAAACCACTATCTTTCTTCAATTAAAATCCACAGCTGTGGTGTGATTATTTTCCAAAACAAAAACAGGTGAGACCATTTTGTGAATATTTACAATTTGGTTGAAGGATGGGCACAGTGGCTTACACCTGTAATCCCAACACTTTGGGAGGCCAAGGCGGGCAGATCACCTGGGGTCAGGAGTTCAAGACCAGCATGGCCAACATGGTGAAACCCCATCTCTACTAAAAACACAGAAATTAAGCTGGGTATAGTGGTGGGCACCTGTTTTCCCAGGTACTCAGGAGGCTGAGGCAGGAGAATAGCTTGAACCCAGGAAGTGGAGGTTGCAGTGAGCCAAGATCGCGTCACTGCACTCCAGTCTGGGTGGCAGAGTGAGACTCCCTCTCAAATAAATAAATAAATAAATAAATAAATAAATAAAATAAAATCCAGCTCAAATAGTCCCTGTATCCAATTGTAGCTCTTAATAAAAACAAGCATAAGAAACCAAAGCAAATCAAAACTACCAACAACATATACACATTTTAAGCATAATTTGACAGTAAGCAATTTGCTGAAGGTGCACACTTACAGGAAAAAAAAAATCTTAAGTTTGATAGAAATTCTTTGTTAATAATCAAAAACTTTGGCCAGACACGATGGCTCATGCCTATAATCCCAGCACTCTGGGAAGCCAAGGTGGGCAAATCACGAGGTCAAGAGATCAAGACCATCTTGGCCAAAATGGTGAAACCCCATCTCCACTAAAAATACAAAACTTAGCTGGGCATGTGGCGCAGCGCCTGTAGTCCCAGGTACTCAGGTGACTGAGGCAAGAGAATTGCTTGAACCCAGGAGGCAGAGGTTGCAGTGACCCAAGATGGTGCCACTATACTCCAGTCTGGGGACAGACTGAGACTCTGTCCCAAAGAAAAAAAAAAAAAATCAAAAACTTTGAGAATAGGGAATTATACAGAAAGCCAACAGTGGGTTTTAGCAAAAATCAGAGTCATTATTCATGTATTAAAATTGACCTAATTTATATACAAATTGATATTCTATTTAATTCATATTTGAGTATCACAACTCAATTTTTTCCTTCAAATTTGGTAAGTAACTTCTCAAATACTATTTGACAAAGGGGTAAAAGTTTCTTTCTACAGTATATAGTTTTTTACACATTAGTTGTGTCATGGGTATGGGTCCCTGGTTTTGAGAAAATCCTAACTCATGATAAACTAAAACTTATAAGGTTATCACTATCAACTAATTAAAGGAATTGTAATATTTCCATTGAGGATCTGCCTGTATTGAATTTTCATTTATATAAAATGAAGGAGTTAGAATAGCAGATTTCAAGGATTATTTCCTATCTTCTTTCCTTTCTAGATTTCTACATAAGGAAACATTCCAGCCGGGCGCGGTGGCTCAAGCCTGTAATCCCAGCATTTTGGGAGGCCGAGGCGGGTGGATCACGAGGTCAAGAGATCGAGACCATCCTGGTCAACATGGTGAAACCCCGTCTCTACTAAAAATACAAAAAATTAGCTGGGCATGGTGGCACGTGCCTGTAATCCCAGCTACTCGGGAGGCTGAGGCAGGAGAATTGCCTGAGCCCAGGAGGCGGAGGTTGCGGTGAGCCGAGATCGCGCCATTGCACTCCAGCCTGGGTAACAAGAGCGAAACTCCATCTCAAAAAAAAAAAAAAAAAAAAAAAGGAAACATTCCATATTGTCCTAGAAACCAAGTGAATGGAGATGACTGATTTTTAAAAAAATAACAAAATTTCAAAACTTGTTTAGAAAGCTACAGTGAAATTAGGTAAGTTATTTTTGTAAACCTTGCATACATGGCTATTTCCAAATCACTTTAGTGAATGAATAAATATGCAAAAGAGAGATGTGGCCAGGCCTCGTAGCTTCCACCTATAATCCCAGTACTTTGGGAGACCCAGGTGGGTGGATTACTTGGGCCCAAGAATTTGAGACCAGCCTGGGCTACATGGTGAAACCCATCTCTACAAAAAATACAAGAACTAGCTGGGCATGGTGGTGCACACCTGTAGTCCCAGCTACTGGGAGATAAAAGAGAAATGATCAAGTCTGGGGTACAGGGAGTAGTGATCATGCCACTGCACTCTAATGTGGGCCAGAATGAGACTCCATCTCTAAAGAAAAAATAAAACAGAGATACGTTCTAATCCAAAAAAGATAATGTCAGGACCTGAACAGAAAGGGCAACTGTAGTTGAATCAAGTGTACTTTAACTTACAGAAAAATGTTAACAAAAAAGGCCTGAACTCTAATAAAAAAGCAAATAAAAATTTCAGTATGTCTCCAGATGTGAATGTTCCCCCAGTTAAAAAACTAAAATTTTAATTCACACAGAAGTTACAGCTCACTTGCAATAACTAAAGGTAAATTTGTAAAAATATGTAAGAAAAAAAGCATATATTTGATAGCCTTTACATTCACCGCACAGCTTTCATTTGGATTGCAATCTAACCAAAGAAATCTTCTGGTAATAATTTGGTCTGGTTTACATTTTGGAAAGAGAATGTCACAAATTACTCTAACTAGTTCAAGCTATATGATAGTTTACCTCTGAATTGGTTTGTTTATTGATAAGGCTCTTTAAGTATGATTCACCCTGATTTGTACTGACAGCATTTCTAGACCTGAACGAAGCATCTGACTTGCATATTTTTGATGCAGATATTGACTTAGAGTATACTCCTCAAGATACTTGTACTGGGAAGCTCTCCCTGAGCAGCCACTTTAAATACTATGTGTTGAATTTACTAAGGCTAAACATAACATGAAAAGCAAGAGAAGGACCCCGCGCCGCCAAGCGCCCCGAGGACTCCGTGGAGGGTGGGCGCCGCCGAGGGCTCCTGCCGCCGGCAGGTTTCCGCGGAGTGCCGCCCGGCTTCGCGCTGCCGCCGCCGCGGCCCATGGGCAGAGTCGGCCGGGCGGGCCGGCATTAAACTGAGAAAAGATGTCCCTTTACGATGACCTAGGAGTGGAGACAAGTGACTCAAAAACAGAAGGCTGGTCCAAAAACTTCAAACTTCTGCAGTCTCAGCTTCAAGTGAAGAAGGCAGCTCTCACTCAGGCAAAGAGCCAAAGGACAAAACAAAGTACAGTTCTTGCCCCAGTCATTGACCTAAAACGAGGTGGCTCCTCAGATGACCGGCAGATTGTGGACACTCCACCGCATGTAGCAGCTGGGCTGAAGGATCCTGTTCCTAGTGGGTTTTCTGCAGGGGAAGTTCTGATTCCCTTAGCTGACGAATATGATCCTATGTTTCCTAATGATTATGAGAAAGTAGTGAAGCGCCAGAGAGAGGAACGACAGAGACAGCGGGAGCTGGAACGACAAAAGGAAATAGAAGAAAGGGAAAAAAGGCGTAAAGACAGACATGAAGCAAGTGGGTTTTCAAGGAGACCAGATCCAGATTCTGATGAAGATGAAGATTATGAACGAGAGAGGAGGAAAAGAAGTATGGGCGGAGCTGCCATTGCCCCACCCACTTCTCTGGTAGAGAAAGATAAAGAGTTACCCCGAGATTTTCCTTATGAAGAGGACTCAAGACCTCGATCACAGTCTTCCAAAGCTGCCATTCCTCCCCCCATGTATGAAGAACAAGACAGACCGAGATCTCCAACTGGGCCTAGCAACTCCTTCCTCGCTCACATGGGGGGCACAGTGGCGCACAAGATCATGCAGAAATACGGCTTCCGGGAGGGCCAGGGTCTGGGGAAGCATGAACAGGGGCTGAGCACCGCCTTGTCGGTGGAGAAGACCAGCAAGCGTGGCGGCAAGATCATCGTGGGAGATGCCACAGAGAAAGATGCATCCAAGAAGTCAGATTCAAATCCACTGACTGAGATACTTAAGTGTCCTACTAAAGTGGTCCTCCTAAGGAACATGGTTGGTGCGGGAGAGGTGGATGAAGACTGGGAATTTGAAACCAAGGAAGAATGTGAAAAATATGGCAAAGTTGGAAAATGTGTGATATTTGAGATTCCTGGTGCCCCTGATGATGAAGCAGTACGGATATTTTTAGAATTTGAGAGAGTTGAATCAGCAATTAAAGCGGTTGTTGACTTGAATGGGAGGTATTTTGGTGGACGGGTGGTAAAAGCATGTTTCTACATTTTGGACAAATTCAGGGTCTTGGATTTGGCAGAGCAAGTTTGATTTTAAGAACTAGAGCACGAGTCATCACCAGTGATCCTTAAACGAACTGCAGCTGAGAAAAGAAGGAAAAAGGTCACAGCCTGCATGGCTGTTGCATACCAAGACTCTTAGAAAGACTTCTAAGATATATGTTGATTGATCCCTTTTTTATTTTGTGGTTTTTTAATATAGTATAAAAATCCTTTAAAAAAAAAAAAAAAAGAAAAGAAAAGCAAGAGAAAATCACATATTCTAAAACTTATGAAAATCTACAACATATAAAGTCAGTAACTATACAACAGAAATTTATTTTTTTATATTTAAAGATTCCATACGGAAGACAAAAGCTAAATGATTCTACGTAGGGTATTAAAGGTACTTGGGTCTGGAAATAAAAATAGCAACATACAATTTTTTTTTTTTTTTTTTTGAGACGGAGTTTCACTCTTGTTACCCAGGCTGCAGGGCAATGGCGCGATCTCGGCTCACTGCAACCTCCGCCTCCTGGGTTCAGGCAATTCTCCTGCCTCAGCCTCCTGAGTAGCTGGGATTACAGGCATGTGCCACCATGCCTGGCTAATTTTTGTATTTTTAGTAGAGACGGGGTTTCACCATGTTGACCAGGATGGTCTCGATCTCTCGACCTCGTGATCCACCTGCCTCGGCCTCCCAAAGTGCTGGGATTACAGGCTTGAGCCACCGCGCCCGGCCACAATTTTTATATACAATATAGATGTGAAAAAAAAAATAGTATCATACAACACAGAATATTTAAATACTACATTTTACACAAATGACATGATCACATAATTCATAAATCTTTCAAAACACTGCTCATAGACTAGTATCAGACAACATACATGATCCATTTTGCAGCAGATACCTCTAGTGCTGCCCATTCTAACTCCAGCAACAGGTGTGGTAAAGAGTTCTATACAGCCTCAGACTTACTTCAGGGGCCAGTGTTCTACTACATTCCTCTCCTTCCACATTCTGCCCTAAGGCATCTAGAAGTGCAAAGGAGTTAACACCACCAAGGGCAAAACTCAATTAATGAGGGATGAGTACTGGTAAATAAATGTTCTAGTCTCACAACCTTCAGCTGGGTGATCCTGGAAGGCATTCTGCATGTTTCTGTGAGACCTAACCCCCCTTTCCTACGGCAGCTACCTCAGTAGTGCACCCTCACATTAGCTTTCCCTCTTTCCATCTCATATACCCTGTTTCTCCTGTTCCTGGAATCAATTCCTAAAAAAAAAAAATCATGAACCCAAATCCTTGCAAAGTCTAGGCTCTGCTTTCAGACAAACTCAAAACAGTTTTAGTAAATTTTAAAAATCAAAATCAATAGTTAAACTGCACTTTAAACCCTTACCTGCTTCAGTACAAACATTTCTCAGGTCTGCTCCATTAAAGCCATCTGAAAGCTTCACAATTGCTTCATAATCTGTTTAGAAAAAATACTGGAAATTAGTTTTTAAAATTAGACCTTTTCTTGATTTATGCCCACATGAAAAATTTAAACTGAAGAGCTCACTATGAATTTGATCAGCTAGACATCACCTCTGTTAACATTCAACAATATTAATATCCCAAAACTAAGACTTCTGTTAAATAAACCAGCCCTAAGCAGAATTAGACACACACCCGAAACTTTAAAAACAGAAAATATCACCAAACTCTGAAGGTTTCTGAAAGTAACTTAACCTATTTTTTTTAATACAGAATTTTGCCCTTGTTGCCCCAAATGGAGTGCTATGGTGCCAAATGGCGCCATCTCAGCTCACTGCAACCTCCACCTCCTGGGTTCAAGCAATTCTCCTGCCTCGGCCTCCCGAGTAGCTGGGACTACAGGTGTGTGTCACCATGCTCAGCTAATTTTTTGTATTTTTAGTAGAAACGGGGTTTCACCATGTTAGCCAGGCTGGTCTCAGGCGATCTGCCTGCCTCAGCCTCCTCAACTGCTGGGATTACAGGTGTGAGTCACTGCACCCGGCCCTTAAACTATTCTTATACAATGAAACAGCTATGCACATGTGAACTCCAGATACCTGTCAAGCTATGATTCTCATCAAAAGTGCAACCAAATCTTTAATTTGAATAAACCTATAATAGTCAAAACAAATTATAACAATGGAATTTACTTTGTTTACTTTAATCACACAAGCCAAATATAAAGTACAGCAAAACTGAAATGTAATCATACATAATTTTGTCACATGGAATTTTTAAATGCTACAACAGGAATTTGCTAGCTTTTCTGGTTTCTGTACAAGATTCAAGTGGTGAAGTACCAGATCTATGGTAGCAGTAATAAAGTGAGTTCTCCACCCACTCACATAACAGACATGAATCAAACAGCTGTAGGTTTAGGGTAGCAGCAATGGATATGACACAGAATAGTAAGAGAAATAAGACAGCACAGGCTACTATAGTGTAAATAACTTTGATGATACACTCTTTGGTCAGACAATATAGGGCATGTTGATTTCTATTTGAAATCACACAGACAATTCAGGAATTGTCATGTTTAAGTTCATTGTAAGCTTCCTGAGAGCAAGAATTCCCAAGGCTGGCATAGTATCTGGCATCAAGGAAGAGCTCAGTATTTGTGGAAGAAACCTACACATTTACATCCTTTGTTGTCTTTCCAGCTCAAAACCCTCTAATAGGAGCAATGAAGACAGTGAAAGGCAACAATTAGCTATTTGTCATTATTTTGGACCATTAAATTCTAAAGGGTTTTTAAGGCTGCCTGGAAATTATACTAGATTTCCCTAGTCTGGAAGTCAGCAAACTTTTTACATAAAGTGTGGGTAACCCCCCATATAGGCACTGAGGAATGAGAGCTAAGCAGAGCCCTGGCACAGTTAGGGTTTGAGGAATATCTCACGTTATAGTGTTACTACTCAGCTATTTCCTTTTATATAATCCTTTACATAATCATATATTAGTTTATAGAGATAGGGCTTGTAGGCTCCCTTTATATAATCCTCTATATATAATAATAGTTGATAGTATGAGTGCCTAAATAATATTTCCGCTGGGCGCGGTGGCTCACGCCTGTAATCCCAGCACTTTGGGAGGCCGAGGCAGGTGGATCACGAGGTCGAGAGATCGAGACCATCCTGGTCAACATGGCGAAACCCCGTCTCTACTAAAAATACAAAAAATTAGCTGGGCATGGTGGCGCGTGCCTGTAATCCCAGCTATTCAGGAGGCTGAGGCAGGAGAATTGCCTGAACCCAGGAGGTGGAGGTTGCGGTGAGCCGAGATCGCGCCATTGCACTCCAGCCTGGGTAACAAGAGCAAAACTCCGTCGCAAAAAAAAAAAAAAAAGAATATTTCCCTACAGATATACCTGTAATTATATCTTAGTTCCTAATTGGAGGAATGCCTAGAATGGACACAGTACAGAGCATGAATTAAGGAATAAGCAGCTTATAATCGGAGGAATGCCTAGAGCAGACACAGTGCAGAGCATGGTTTAAGGGAAGACAGTTATACCAGGACAAGAATCCATGGCCCAGGCGGCAGCGTTCAGTATCGTAAAGATACCTGCTGTATGGCAGGCTTGGGGTGAGAGCCACTCCTCCTGATAAAGGAGTTGTAGGACCTTGCTCCAGTTCTTGTGGAAGGCTGCCCTCAGAACGGCAATCCACCTTGGTGACTGTGAACTTTATCAGCTCTTGCTACTGTGCTGCTTGAAAAGCATCTTCCCATAGAAACCTGGAAGCTGCCAGAAGGTGGCGGTAACCTTGACAGCTCTGTCACTGCTATGTGATTTAAGCATCCTCCGATAAATCTTCTTAGAAGTAATTTCCCATAGATAGATGTATCACACACTACACCCCCTTACTGCACCTGGCCCTTGCCTTCGTGGGAACTGGGCCCTCGCCTTCGTGGGAACCAGCCCCTTGCTGCGTGCTGTCCATCTCCTGGCCTAGGTGACCTAATGGGGGTGGATCCTATGTTTTATTGCTCACAACCCTATCACTATCCTTAAAGATGATTTCACTCACTGCCCTGCCCCCTAACCTATACATAATAAATACTCACGCTTCTGGACATTCGGGGCTTCGCCGCCTTGCGAGCCAGCCTCGCCTGACTCCGCTGATAGGTGGCGTGGCCCCCTGGGCCCAGCTGCGTTTTCTTTGTACTTCTGTGTCCTGTCTCTTTATTTCTCAGACACTGCGCCTGAGCACAGCATAAGGCTCACCCCACGACCCTGTGGGGTACTTAGCCTTACATCGAGCTCCCAACGTGCCCTACAATAAAGGGCCAGATAGTAAATACCTTATGCTTTGCAGGCCATATGGTTTCTGTTATAACTATTCAACTCTGCTATTATAGTAGGAAAGCAGCCATAGACAACAGATAAATAAATAAGCATGCTGGGGTCACAACAAAACTTTGTTTCCAAAAACACAAGGCAGGCAGAATTTGGTTCACAAGCCATGTTTTCCATAGATAATGACTTTATACCTTCTCTTTGTCCTCAAATCTCTAAGAATACTTTCCTATCTTCATTCTGAATGTGCATTTTATTTCACTGAGAAATCAGAAGCATTCAGAAAAAACACTTCTACAAGTTCCTGTACTATCTGAGAACCTGTCATCATCAGCATCTATATACTGCCTTTCCTCCATTCTCATAAATGAAGTGCACATATATATATAGGGTCAATACTTCTTCAAGAACATTATCAATTTCTCTTTCTCCTAGATCATTCCCAACAGCATTATATATGTTTTTTTTTTTAAGTGTTATAAACTCTTCCATCTTTTTTCTAAAAAAAATTTTTTTGACAGAGCAAAAAATTAAGAGTTAAATTCAGCAAATAGCTATTGAGTAATTTAAGTCAATAGCTATTTGCTGAATTTGCTGAATTCCAGCCTGGGCAATGGTGACTCACTCTGTCGCCAAGGCTGGAATGTAGTGGCGTGATCGCAGCTCACTGCAATCTCTGCCTTCCGGGTTCCAGCGATTCTCCTGCCTCAGCCTCCCGAGTAGCTAAGATTACAGGCATGTGCCACCACACCCAGCTATTTTGTATTTTTAATGGAGACAGGGTTTCACCATGTTGGTCAGGTCGGTCTCGAATCCTGACCTCCTGATCTACCCGTCTCAGCCTCCCAAAGTGCTGGGATTACAGGCATGAGCCACCACATCTGGCCATAAACTCTTCCATCTTAAAGAAAACTCTGCCACAACCTCTTCTCTATTTCCCTTCCACTTCTCTGTCTCCTATGCAGAACTCTTAAAATAAATGTCTAAACTCAATGCCTCTCCCTCTCAATCTCTCTGAAACCCATCCGGAATAGGCTTTTACCTCCGTCATTACCAAGAAGCTACCTTTGACAAGATTACCAACGACCTCCACATAGTTAAATCCAAAGGTCTACTCTGAGAACTCTTTACCTGACCTATTGTCAGCATTTTACAGGAATCAGTTAAAACAAAAAACAGGCCAGGTACAATGGCACATGCCTGTTATCCCAGCACTTTGGGTGGCTGAGGTGGGCAGATTGCTTGAGCCCAGTAGTTCGAGATCTGCCTGGGCAACATGGCGAAACCCCATCCCTACAAAAAAATAAGCCAGGGTTGGTGGTGTTTGCCTGTAGTCCCTGCTAATCAGGAGGCTGAAGTGTGAGGATCATTTGAGCTTCAGAGGCAGAAACTGCAGTGAGCTGGGATCATACCACTGCACTCCAGCCTGGGCAACAGGGTGAGACCCTGTCTCTAAAAAATAAATCGCCTTCTTGGTAAGGCCGTCCCTATGCCAATCCTCCCACCATTTAAAAATGTACATCTTCATGCCTGCTCCTGGCATTTCCCTAATTTCCTATTCTTCCCCCCTTGAAACAAGGTCTTGACAAACTGGAGTGCAGTCACATGATCACAGCTCTCTGCAACCTCAAACCCCTGGCCTCAAGCAATCCTTTTGCCTTGGCTTTCCAAAGCATTAGGATTAAAGAAGTGAGCCGCCATACCCGCCTCCACTTTCCTGCTTTATTTTTCCTCATAGCACTTATCACCACCTGTTATACTCTGTTTTACTTACTTTATCTGTTTTTTCCTAACAAGAATATAAGTTTTCTAATGGTAGAAATCTGTTTTGTTCCTTGCTATATCGTCAGCCCTTACAAAACACTTACAATAGTTCCTAGCATATAGTGGATGCTCAACAACTATTTGCAGAATTTAAAACCACCACATTTGCTAAACTAAAAACCAGATTTGGGAAACTATCAGTAGTATCTAACAGTATTTTTCTTCATTTACTGAATGTAAATACATATAAAATAGATGTCTTCCAGCCGGGCATGGTGGCTCACGCCTGTAATTCCAGCACTTTGGGAGGCTGAGGTGGGCAGATCACGAGGTCAAGAGATCGAGACCATCCTGGCCAACATGGTGAAACCCCGTCACTACTAAAAATACAAAAATTAGCTGGGCATGTTGGCGTGCGCCTGTAGTCCCAGCTACTCAGGAGGCTGAGGCACGAGAATTGCTTGAACCCAGAAGGAAGAGGTTGTAGTGAGCCAAGATCACACCACTGCACTCCAGCCTGGCATCTGGCGACAGAACGAGACTCTGTCTCAAAAAAAAAAAAGAAAAAAAATAGATTACTTCCTTACCTATTTCACCATGCTTTGTAATGGGACCTGCATGGATTTTCAGTATGTCTAATCTTGCTTGTTCATTTGGCAAATCAATATCTGAAAATAAAAAATTATTTTATAGTTCAGTTTTATTTTTTTTAAATATAGTGGAAGGTGAAGTATGGTAAAAGAAATGGACACAAAGAAAAATGAATAGTAGGTAAAGAACCTTAACTCACGTATTTTTCTATCTAATCTTCCTGGACGCAGCAAAGCAGGATCCAGTGTATCCGGTCTGTTTGTAGCCATGATCATTTTAACTCTATGCAGAGTATCAAATCCATCCATTTGATTCAATAACTAAGAATATTAAGAATCAGATTTTACAAAACATTCTAATCACTAAAAAAAATAGTACACACCTTTTATATGTCTAACAGCATGAAATGGATTGTCTACAGATAGATATGTGACCTTCAGAATGGGTATTTGATAGAATTCTACTTCTTTCTCTCTTATATAAAGGGATATACTTTCTAGCCTCAAAGTTCTAAGCTAGATTATATACCTTTTAATAGCTATGTATCTTTTTATAGCTACCAAGTAGTTTTAATAATCTAAAGACTTCCATCATGTTAAGAATTATGAAACTAAACTATGTGGATTTAATTTCCAATGTCCAAAATTTTATCATGCAATTATTCTTTAAAATAAAAGCTAATAACAAAATCCAATATGTAAAACGCTTATGATATGTCAGATACAACATTTATATTAGGATAACTGGATATAAAGATTTTTCTACAAATTTGATAGAAAAACCCACACTTTTTTTTTTTTTTTTTGAGACAGAGTTTCACTCTGTCACGAAGGCTGGAGTGCACTGGCCTGATCATCCTCACTGCAACCTCCACGTCCTAGGCTCAACTAATCCTCTCCCCTCAGCCTCCTGAGTATTGGGGACTACCATTTTTTTTTTCTGAGATGGAGTCTCGCTGTGTCACCCAGATCAATGGCATGATCTCAGCTCACTGCAACCTCTGCCTCCCAGGTTCAAGCAATTCTCCTGTCTCAGCCTCCTGAGTAGCCGGGATTACAGGTATGCCCCAACACGCCAACCTAATTTTTGAATCTTTAGTAGACATGGGGTTTCACTATGTTGGCCAGGCTGGTCTTCAAAGCCCAGACCTCATGGTCTGCCAACCTGGGTCTCCCAAAGTTCTGGGATATTACAGGCATGACCCAAAGTGCCTGGCCTATTTTTTCAAATAATTCTGCTGTACATAGAAATACTGAAAGACACAAAAAATATTATTTTCATTTCTAAAGTTTTCTTAAACAAAAAAACTTTATTTAACAAACTCTAATATAGCTAGTCTGACAATATGTGTTAGTTGATAATATATTAGTTACTTGAATAAAATTAATATTTGTGTCATTTAAAAATATCTCAATTTAAGGTTTCTAAGAGAATTTATAATTTTAAAATGCTTTGCATCTTCTGAGCAGATCTTTATAATTTATTAAAAGAGATTTTTCAAATACTCATAAGAAAAGAATTTGACACTGCATTACCAATGCTACCTAGTTTCTATTTCAAATGGGAAAATTTATTTGGACTCTTGCAATCACTTTCACAGAATTTGGAGTGGGGAAAGATAAAACTGGAGGAAGGCTTTATGTGCATTCTTTCATTCTGTCATCTATCTTCTTCAGTTATGAAAATTATTTTACTTGCCTCAGTCTCAGCAATATAGTGAGAGAAAATTTTTAGGGCAGCCTCATACATAATTATATCTCATTTATTGCCAACAGTCTTAATATGACCATTACATAAAATATCTTAATAAAACTACCATAAAATCACATTCATAAGAATCAATTTAAATATCTGAATGGCTGATCTGCTCAAAAAACACAGAACAGTACAAGTAACACCAAACAGAATCTCGCAGATAGTCTTATTTTCTAGTAGTCATTTTCTTAGAGACACATGTTTGTTCCTGTCAATATTTTCAAATTTCATATTTCATTTAAAATGTTGTATATATTTCGACTTTCAAACATGCAATGTTCAGTTCTTCATTTAATAAACATTGGTTTCTTTATAAACCCCCTTTACCAAATATTACCTCCATTAAAGTCCTCTGAATCTCTCTGTCAGCTGAAGTACCCTCAGAAAACCGACGACCACCTAAAATAGTAGATTTGGGAATTTATATGCATTACTCTTTTCCTCTATCACCATCATTTAAGGAAACAGAACATAACAGTTGTGGCTCGAAACATTAAGGTAAAAATTAAAGAGTAAAATTATGCTGACAAAGTTAGACTTGAATCGTGTAACATTTCTCATTTTGTTAAAGTGAAAGGTTATTTATTTTATTATTATTAAGCGGAGTCTCACTCTGTCGCCAGAGTTGCATGCAATGGCACGATCTCCACTCACTGAAACCTCCACCTGCTGGGTTCAAGAGATTCTCCTGCCTCAGCCTCCTGAGTAGCTGGGATTACAGGCATTCGCCATCACACCCAGCTAATTTTTGTATTTTTAGTAGAAATGGGGTTTCGCCATGTTGGCCAGGATAGTCTCTATCTCCTGACTTCATGATCTGCCCACCTCAGCCTCCCAAAGTGCTGGGATTACAGGTGTTGAGTGACCACACCCGGCCGTGAAAGGTTATTTATTAAAACTGGTTAAAGTAACGCCTAATTCATTGTGGCATTTACTTCATACAAGTAGCAATTTTAGGTTAAGAGAGGGAAAAAACGTTATTTTACATTAAAAAAAAAAAAGGTCCAAAAACTTTCAAAAAGAGTGTTATTCTTACCAATAGCATCTATTTCATCCATAAAAATGATGCATGGTTGATGGTCCCTGGCATAATTAAACATTTCTCTGATCAAACGAGCACTTTCACCAATGTACTTGTCTACAATAGAACTAGATACAACCTGATTAAAGAAAAAACAGTAAGGTAAGTATAAGACAATTCAAGTAAAATTAAATTTCAGTAAGTACAAAATAATCTTCCCTTTACCTTTAAGAAATTGCAGTCCAGCTGGCTAGCAACGGCTCGTGCCAAGAGTGTTTTTCCCGTACCTAAGAATGACAAAAGAAGTCTTAATTAGATGATACGGTAGACAAAATTTGTTTTGAGACAGGCAATCACTCTGTTACCCAGGCTGGAGTGTGAGGAGATCACAGCTCACTGCAACCTTGACCTCCCAGGCCCAAGCAATTTTCCCACCTCTGTCACCCAAGTAGCGGGGACCACAGGCATGTGCCATCACACACAGCTAAGTTTTTTTTGCTTATTTGTTTGTTTTTCAGAGATTGGGTGTCTCTGTGTTGCCCAGGCTGGTCTTGAACTCTTGGGCTCAAGTGGTCCTCCCACTTCAGCCTCCCAAAGTGCTGGGATTACAGGCAAGAGCCACCACACCCAGCCTATGTGAAACAAATTTTTAAAATCCTTTTAAAAATATAATTGTTTGGCAAGTAAATTTTCCAAAATGAAAGCTAAATCCTAAATAGAATTTTCACTTAAAATTCCAAAATACTGGCCAGGCGCAGTGGCTCAAGCCTGTAATCTGTAATCCCAGCACTTTGGGAGGCCAAGGCAGGTGGATCACAAGGTCTGGAGTTCAAGACCAGCCTGGCCAAGATGGTAAAACGCCATCTTTACTTAGAAAAAAAATACAAAAATTAGCTGGGCATGTTGGCGGGTGCCTGTAATCCCAGCTACTCAGGAGGCTGAGGCAGAGAATCCCTTGAACCTAGGAGGCAGAGGTTGCAGTGAGGTGAGATGATGCCACTGCACTGCAGCCTGGGTGACAGAGCAAGACTCTGTCTCAAAAAATAAAAAATAAATAAAATAGCCGGGCGCGGTGGCTCAAGCCTGTAATCCCAGCACTTTGGGAGGCCGAGGCGGGTGGATCACGAGGTCGAAAGATCGAGACCATCCTGGTCAACATGGTGAAACCCCGTCTCTACTAAAAATACAAAAAACTAGCTGGGCGTGGTGGTACATGCCTGTAATCCCAGCTACTTAGGAGGCTGAGGCAGGAGAATTGCCTGAGCCCAGGAGGCGGAGGTTGCGGTGAGCCGAGATCGCGCCATTGCACTCCAGCCTGGGTAACAAGAGCGAAACTCCGTCTCAAAAAAAAAAAAAAAAAAAATAGCCGGGCGCGGTGGCTCAAGTCTGTAATCCCCGCACTTTGGGAGGCCAACGCGGGTGGATCACGAGGTCAAGAGATCGAGACCATCCCGGTCAACATAGTGAAACCCCGTCTCTACTAAAAATACAAAAAATTAGCTGGGCATGGTGGCGTGTGCCTGTAATCCCAGCTACTCAGGAGGCTGAGGCAGGAGAATTGCCTGAACCCAGGAGGCGGAGGTTGCGGTGAGCCGAGATCGCGCCATTGCACTCCAGCCTGGGTAACAAGAGCAAAACTCTGTCTCAAAAAATAAATAAGTAAATAAGTAAATAAATAAATAAAATAAAATTTCCAAAGTACTTCTGCTCTCAATATTAAAATTTGAATCAAAATATGTGTTATAACTTTTTATGACCAATTTTAAATTGATAATAAACTGTTTATAGGGTAAATTTTTTCTTTTTTCTTTTTTTCTTTTTTTTTTTTGAGACGGAGTTTCGCTCTTGTTACCCAGGCTGGAGTGCAATGGCGCGATCTCGGCTCACCGCAACCTCCGCCTCCTGGGTTCAGGCAATTCTCCTGCCTCAGCCTCCTGAGTAGCTGGGATTACAGGCACACGCCACCATGCCCAGCTAATTTTTTGTATTTTTAGTAGAGATGGGGTTTCACTATGTTGACCGGGATGGTCTCGATCTCTTGACCTCGTGATCCACCCGCCTCAGTCTCCCAAAGTGCTGGGATTACAGGCTTGAGCCACCACGCCCGGCTAGGGTAAATTATATGTATATATCGAAGAATGATTAAATCAGGTGAATCAATACATCCATCACCTCATATGCTTAACATTATTCTGTGGTTAGAACATTTAAAATCTACTTCTAGCAATTTGAAATAGCTAACACGTTATTAATTATAGTCACCATGCTATCACTAGAATTTATTCTTCCTAAGTGAACTTTATATCCTTTGATCAACATCTCCCCTATCCCCATACACCACCACAACTTCTGGTAACCATTCTACTCATTTTTATGAGTTCAATTTTTTAAGATTCCACATAAAAATGAGATTATGTGGTAACTGTCTTTCTGTGTCTGGCTTATTTCAATTAGTATAACATCCTTTAGATTCATCCATATTGTCACAAATGGCAGTTTCCTTTTTAAAGGCTGAATAGTATTCCACTGTGTATATTTATCACATTTTTTTATCCATTAATCCACTGATGGGCAATTTTTAAGCTGTTTCTGTATCTTGGCTATTGAGAAATAATCATGGGAGTGCAGATATCTTTGATACACTGATTTCAATTCCTTCAATACACAGAAGTGGGATTGCTGAATCATATGGTAATTCTATTTTTAGTTTTTTGAGAAACCTCCACACTGTTTTCAAAAAATGGCTCTGTTAATTTACATTCCCACCAATAGCGTACAAGGGTTCTCCTTTCTCTACATCCTTGCAAACACTTGTTATCATTCATCTTTTTCATAATAACTATCTATTCACAATATGGACTATGATAGAAACTTCTGTTACACTAAAATACATTGGTCTATCCTCCATACTGACTGGATCTTTTACCTATGAATATTTTAACATCAAGCACTGATTATTTGGAAACTACTGGTTCAGTGAGTTATGCAAATCTTCCAAATGTTGACATTTTTCATTACACAATATTAAGAAATTTTGTTATTCTCACCACTTATCTCAATTTTGTTATTCTCACCACTTTATCTCTAATAAAGACAGAAACGTCCTTATTAATATTTTAGAATGCTGTCATGGCTGTGCATTGTGGCTCATGCCTGTAATCCCGGCACTTTGGGATGCTGAGGTGGGCAGACTGCTTAAGCTCAGGAGTTCACGACCAGCCTGGGCAATATGGCAGAACCCTGCCTCCACTAAAAACACAAAAATTAGCCCAGCATGACAGCACACACCTGTAGTCCCAGCTACTCCAGAGGCTGAGGTGGGAAGATCACCTGAGCCCAGGAGGCAGAAGTTGCAGTGAGACAAGATAATCAAGCCACTGCACTCCACTCTGGGCAACAGACTTACGCCTGTAATCCCAGCACTTTGGGAGGCCAAGCGGGGTGGATCATGAGGTCAGGAGATGGAGACCATCCTGGCTAACATGGTGAAACCCTGCCTCTACTAAAAATAGAAAAAATTAGCTGGGCATGGTGGCACGTGCCTATAGCTGCAGCTACTCAGAAGGCTGAGGCAAAAGAATTACTTGAACCTGGGAGATGGAGGTTGCAGTGAGCTGAGATCGCACCACTGCTCTCCAGTCTGGGTGACAGAGCAAGACTCTATCTCAAAAAAAAAAAAAAAAAGAAAGAAAGAAAGAAAAAGCTGTCAACCACAAGGTGTCAGACACTTTTTTTTTTTGTTTGTTTTTTTGTTTTTTTGTTTTTTTTGAGACGGAGTTTCGCCCTCGTTACCCAGGCTGGAGTGCAATGGCGCGATCTCGGCTCACCGCAACCTCCGCCTCCTGGGCTCAGGCAATTCTCCTGCCTCAGCCTCCTGAGTAGCTGGGATTACAGGCACGTGCCACCATGCCCAGCTAATTTTTTTTGCACTTTTAGTAGAGACGGGTTTCACCATGTTGACCAGGATGGTCTCGATCTCTCGACCTCGTGATCCACCCGCCTCGGCCTCCCAAAGTGCTGGGATTACAGGCTTGAGCCACCGCGCCCGGCAGACACATGTTTTTAAAAATTCTAATTTTCACTTGACGGCTCAAATTTTATCACTGGCAACAGATGATGTTAAGTTGTTTAACATGACAGGCTCAATTTGTTCACTTTAAAAAAAATGTGCGCCAAATAATCAAAAACCAGTCTGAGTAATCAATAACTAATAACCAGTAACCAGTCTGATAACCATAGCATATCTGTAAATGGTCCATTCAAGTAAAAACAGTATTTCACAAAAAGCAACAAGTTCAGCTGGCAACTTAAATAAACTGCACAAGTGCTTTTCTAAAGACAACTATATTATTCAATACACAGCAGAAGTATTTTATATATATTTTCCATTTCATCACAAAGAACATAACTATTACCCAAACATGAAGATTTGATAAAATTACTAATTTTTACTGTTTCACCAAGGACTTTAAAGTGAAACTGACTTTATTTTTACACTGCATGTATGTGGCAATCAAGAACACAATGGCTACTAACTAGCACTATTTTGTATCATTAACACTGATTCAGGCCACGGTGCAGGTAATTTAATTTTACCCGTGTTGGTCTTGCACCATCAGCACAAATGTGCACACAGTGAAGAGTCCAACAACATTTTAGCTTTTTGTTTTGTTTTCTGAGAAGGAGCCTCACCCTGTCACCCAGGCTGGAGTGCAGAGGCACGATCTCGGCCCACTGCAACCTCCACGACCCCGGCTCAAGCGATTCTCTCACCTCAGCCTCCCAAGAAGCTGGGACGGCAAACGCACACCACCACACCCAGCTAATTTTTGTATCTTTAGTAGAGATGGTGTTTCACCATGTTGTCCAGGATGGTCTTGATCTCTTGATCTTGGGATCCGCCTGCCTTGGCCTCCCAAAGTGCTGGGATTACAGGCATAACCCACCTTCCCCGGTCAATTTTTTTTATTCTTTAATTCATTCATTTTATTGATGGAATAAAAATAATTCAATACCAACCTGGTGGTCCATATAACAAACAGCCTTTTGGAGGTATTATTCCTACACGCTGAAACAACTCTGGGTTTGTAAGAGGTAATTCTATCACCTAGAAAAGAAATTGAATGTTTCTTAAAAAGTTAGTCAAGATTTTCAATGTACTTTCAAATACTTTAAGTCAAACATCACTAGTTAGGTGTACACAACATAATTTATAATAGATCTAGACTTCCACGCTAGTTAAAACCATTTATATTAAGAGGTTTTGCTTAAGATAGATTTAAGATCCCTTAAATCTAAAAACTTTTAATGTTTTTTAAATAAACCACACATTTGATTGGGGTGATGGTTACACGATATATAACTTGTTCAAACATATTTGAAATGTACACTTAGAATCTGCATTTTTTTAATGTAAATTATACTTCAATGAAAAATTACACTGCAAAAAATTAGTTAAGTCAAATGAAGATATAAACAAAAAATACAACTCAAAAGATCTATACCAGTTTGAATTTGAAAATACAACACAGGCCGGGCGTGGTGGCTCAAGCTTGTAATCTCAGCACTTTGGGAGGCCGAGGCGGGCGGATCACGAGGTCGAGAGATCTAGACCATCCTGGTCAACATGGTGAAACCCCGTCTCTACTAAAAATACAAAAAAGTAGCTGGGTGGGCATGGTGGTGCGTGCCTGTAATCCCAGCTACTCAGGAAGCTGAGGCAGGAGAACTGCCTGAACCCAGGAGGCGGAGGTTGCGGTGAGCCGAGATCGCGCCATTGCACTCCAGCCTGGGTAACAAGAGCAAAACTCCGTCTCAAAAAAAAAAAAAAAAAAAAAAAAGAAAATACAACACAAAATAGTTATAAAATGGGAGATGGATTTGATAACTTATACCAAGAGAAAAGGTATATAAAATTTTTATCTGTTGATATTTTGCCATAGCAGCTTTCAAAGAACAGTATGTACTGCTCTCAAGATTAATTCAGGCCAGGCGCGGTGGCTCAAGCCTGTAATCCCAGCACTTTGGGAGGCCCAGGCGAGTGGATCACAAGGTCAAGAGATCGAGACCTTCCTGGTCAACATGGTGAAACCCCGTCTCTACTAAAAATACAAAAAAGTAGCTGGGCATGGTGGCACATGCCTGTAATCCAAGCTACTCAGGAGGCTGAGGCAGGAGAATTGCCTGAACCCAGGAGGCGGAGGTTGTGGTGAGCCGAGATCGCGCCATTGCACTCCAGCCTGGGTAACAAGAGCGAAACTCCGTCTCAAAAAAAAAAAAAAAAAAAAAGATTAATTCAAGGAAGCGGAGAACAGAAGAATAGAAAGAATGAGGATCTGAAAGTCCAATTTAAATTATTTATAGTACCACTTACTCAAGAGAGAAATTTCTATTGAATAGTTGTGTTGGGCCGGGTGCAATGGCTCACGCCTATAAATCCCAACACTTTGGGAGGCCAAGGCTGGAGGATGGTTTGAGCTCAGGAGTTCAAGAACAGTCTGGATGACATGGTGAAACCCTGTCTCTACAAATATTAGTCATGTGTGGTGGCACATGCCTTTAGTTCCAGATATTTGGGAGGCTGAGCTAGGAGAATGACTTGAGCCTAGGAGGTGAAGGATGTAGTGAGCTGAGATTGCACCACTGTACTCCAGCCTGGGCAAAAGAACCAGACCCTGTCTCAAAAAAAAATATGTCCAGCCGGGCTCGGTGGCTCAAGCCTGTAATCCCAGCACTTTGGGAGGCTGAGGCGGGTGGATCACGAGGTCAAGAGATCGAGACCATCCTGGTCAACATGGTGAAACCCCGTCTCTACTAAAAATACAAAAAAATTAGCTGGGCATGGTGGCGTGTGCCTGTAATCCCAGCTACTCAGGAGGCTGAGGCAGGAGAATTGCCTGAACCCAGGAAGCGGAGGTTGCGGTGAGCCGAGATCGCGCCATTGCACTCCAGCCTGGGTAACAAGAGCGAAACTCCGTCTCAAAAAAAAAAAAAAAAAAAAATGTCCATATGTGCATCAAGTGTGACTGGGAAAAGCCAGAAGAAAGAAATCAATAGCTAATCTGTCAGTCAAGTCTCTGTAGACAGTCAAGGGTACCACATGTATAGATGTGATTCTCTCTGCTCCTATGGCTAATGCAGCAAATCATTGTTGAAAGCAAATTTTCACCATTCCAGGAAGCACTTGTTCTTCCTCTGTTGCCCTTTCATTAAATACAGGTGAGAACTGTTTTTTTTACTTAGACTAGTGCTCTTCAACTATCATCAAAGAAAAATTTGGTTTCATAATCACTTGGAATGCTTGTTTAAAAGCTAATTCCTGTGTCTACCACCAATGCAGTTCATCAAAACCACTCAGAGGGCCCAGCAATCTTTATTTTTAATAAGTGTTCCAGAAAAATTAATAAGAACAACTGGCTTAAGGCTTAAATCAAATGATGTAAGACATTCCAACTATTCCCATTAACTCCTAAATATGCACAGCTTAATTTAGGATGAAATCTACAGGACAATGTAATTTGCTTTACAGATAACAGTTAAGCAGCTGTCTGTGCTATGAAGTATGGCAATCCTGATTTGATTCTTCACCTAAAAGATTTAAGACAATCCTAAAGCCAGTGGTTTTCTTGAATGGTAGCAAACAGCTTTAACAAAATAAAATATTTAAGGAACAGGTATCCTACTCTTCTGTAAGAGTGGGACGATAGTATTAATGAGGTTATGGAAAAAACTCATCACACACATTATCCAAATATGCTCTGACCCAAGTAACTTGTGATAATCAAAACAACATGGCATCAGATTACATCAATTATTCGTAGCTTTTTCTCCATTCCTTTGCCACAAAAAGAGCAGGATTTTTCTAACACCAAATTATCTCCAAATTAAAAAACACCAATAGAATGGGTGTAGTGGCTCACACCTGTAATCCCAGCACTTCGGGAGACTGAGGTGGGCGGCTCACTTGAGGTTGGAAGATAGAGACCAGCCTGATCAACATGAAGAAACCTCTTCCCTACTAAAAATATAAAGTTAGCTGGGTGTGGTGGCACATGACTGTAATCCCAGCTACTCAGGAGGCTGAGGCAGGAGAATTGCTCCAACCTGGGAGGCGCAGGTTGCGGTGAGCCAAGATCGTGCCATTGTGCTCCAGCCTGGGCAACAAGAGCAAAGCTCCATCTCAAAAAAAGAAAAAAAAAAAACCAGTAATTTTCACAACTAGAAAAATTCAGTGCTATTCTCTTAGCAAGAATAGTAAATACACAATATTCTTAACTACCATTTAGACAAAAAGTACTTTTTCATCTTATTTCTCCTCTTGAATATCCTAAAACTAGTAGCATTTATTAGCTAAGTTCAGAGAACAAAGCACGCAGTACCAACCTCTCTTAATTCCCGGATCTGTTCTGATAGCCCTCCAATCTCAGAATAAGAAACATTCCCAGGGTCCTCGTGAGACATGTTATAAACCAGTGGATCCACCTCTCTTGGCAAATATCTAGAATGAAAAGGTATGTATTTTTCTTTTGAATATATATTTTCTCTCAGCCTACTGATAGCATATAAATGACTTGCTCATGCAAGCACCTACAGCTGATGTTATAAAGATGTGCTCAATTAAAAACTAGCAAAAGGGAAAAACTCCCAAAATATTCAGTGATCTCAAGAAGCATATATCTCAGAGAAAAATCTCCCTTTGTGAAAATAAAAGGTAGACTAAATAGAATCAGAAACCCACCTCATGATGGTTAGTGTAGTCATATCCAAAGCAACTCTTGTTCCTGGCTTCAGCTTACTTTTGTCAAGCTAGTTTTGCAAAACAAAAGATATTACATAAACACTTAAAAAAGGAGTATCACTCTAATGAGAACTTAATATTTAGAAGCCAAATACTCATTTTTACCCTTCAGAGAGAACAAATGTCAGATTATATACTCCATGCTAACAGAATGGCTTATAAAATAAGTAATTCAAAGTGATTTCCATCTGCCCCTTAAAACAATGTATCTTTGTGTAATCTGAGCATGAAATGTGAAATGACTAATACACAAAGCTTGAGGTGGCAATTGTACAGTGACTGTGGGAATTGCTACCAAAGCATTTATAGAAAAACTCATTAGTGTACATTTTAGGGAAAGGAAAGGGAAGCATTTTAAAGGTGTGCTCTTAGCACAATGGTTAGGTAGAAAAAAAATAAAAAATAAATAAATAAAGGTGTGCTCATCAGATTTATTCTGAAATGTATGGCTTCTGGGAAGAATGTGTGTTACAAGATCATGAGAGAAGGAGGAAATGCACTGTATCCACTTAGAGATTTGTATTAAAATGCTTTAAAATTAAAGCCCAAAGCCCAGCAACCATCATTCATGCCTTTGCTACATTACAGGCACATGCTGAGCAAGTTACACATTAGGTTGAATCACACTAAATAATTTCTTGGCATATCTGCCTAAAAATAGATGGCATCTAATAGATTCGCCTCACACTCAGGATGTTGTTACTTTTCAAAGACAAAGTTACTTATTAATTGTTTTAAAAAACTGCTTGCCAATACAATTTCAGAATCATAAATCACTGACAACTTGTCACAAGATTTTACAAAGAGCTTCAAATTTAGGAAGATAGGCAAAGCACTAGGATTAATATAACAATTAAGGAAAAAAACTGCTAAAAAGCAACGTTACTTGGAAAAAGAAGAGATCAATATGAAGCTATTTCAATGTTTACATCCATAGGGAATACAAGTTGAGTATTCCTAATCTGAAAACCCAAAATGCTCCACAATGTGCAATTTTTTGAGCGCTGACATGATGCTCAAAGAAAATGCTCATGGGAGCATTTCAAATTTTGGATTTTTTCATTAGGGATGCTCAACCAATATAATGCAAATATTCTAAAATCTGAAAAAAAGCCAAAATCCAAAACATATTTCTGATTCAAGTATTTTGGATAAGGGATACTCAACTTGTATATACCTTGGCTTTTCTAATGTTTTCTAGTTTTCAAATATTGTCTTGTCCTGATGCAACCTGAAATATCTTAATGCCAACTTTTGGCATCCAGAAAGCCCTGAAAGGGACATAAAAACCCTTTGTCAGTTTAGGTATCTAATAGTTTGACTTAAAAAATGTCAACCACTTATATACTAGGCAAAATCTTAATATGAGATTTATTCCCTGGATTAAATTCTCCCCTACAGCCACGTTCTGTAAATGTTTTAAAATCTGAACGCGAGCCAGGCGCGGTGGCTCAAGCCTGTAATCCCAGCACTTTGGGAGGCCGAGGCGGGTGGATCACGAGGTCGAGAGATCGAGACCATCCTGGTCAACATGGTGAAACCCCGTCTCTACTAAAAATACAACAAAAAAACTAGCTGGGCGTGGTGGCACGTGCCTGTAATCCCAGCTACTTAGGAGGCTGAGGCAGGAGAATTGCCTGAGCCCAGGAGGCGGAGGTTGCGGTGAGCCGAGATCGCGCCATTGCACTCCAGCCTGGGTAACAAGAGCGAAACTCCGTCTCAAAAAAAGAAAAAAAAAAAAAAAAAATCTGAACCCGAAATGACAATCACGCAGAGAAAGCTCTTCCAATGAATTCAAAAGAAGTCTCTACCTAAGGATACTTCCTATGGTACATAAATTGATTTCAGACACTACTGAATGACCTGAGGTCATTTGTTGGCATCTTTAATAACTGCAAAATAAAATTCAGAATTATTTCAACTTGCCCTACCCTAATCTAAAAGACCTCATACAAAATTAACTTAGGCCATGGTACAGTCTTATCAGTAACAGTTCTGAATGTTTAAATATAAACACAGGTAACTGATCGTATCTAACACTTTTAAGTCCTCTTTAAAAATGATATTAAAGCCAGGTATGGTGGCTCGCACCTGTAATCCCAGCACCCAAGGCAGGTGGATCACGAGGTCAGGAGATCAAGACCATCAGGGCCAACATGGCAAAACCCAGTCTCTACTAAAAATACAAAAAAAAAAATTAACTGGGCATGGTGGCGCATGCCAGGTGGCCCATGCCTGTAATTCCAGCTACTCTGGAGGCTGAGGCAGGGAAAATCATTTGAACCAGGGAGTTGGAGGTTGCAGTGAGCCAAAATCGTGCCACTGCACTCCAGCCTGGTTGCAGAGTAAAACTATCTCTCTCATACACACACAAAAGATATTAAAATAAAATGTCTATTTTCCAGTTCTAAAACACTAATTTCTCAGTCACTATTAATAGATCTGACTGAGACAATGTAATACAGTAGAAAGTAGAGAATACCAGGAGTCAAAGCCTATGGTTTGAATTCAAGCTTTGTTAATAACTAGCTACGTCTGAACAAATCATCCTTGTGAGTTATGGGCATAAATTCCCAACCTGTTTGCCTCAAGAATTAGAGAAAATAACTTACACGAAACTGCTTTTGTCAATCAGCAAGCACTATACAAATAAAAAGTATTACCTGTCGACGACAACCCACAACATATCTTGGTCCATTTGTAGCTTTAACGATGACTAGAAGAAGAAACATAAAAGAAGTAATTGAAAAACAGAAAGTAAAAAAATATATATCCACATTGATAGAGGGCTTAGTTTTATTTCTGTCCTCCAAGAAGACAACAGTTGAAGACAAACTTAAGTCTATGCAAAAATACTCTCTCTCTGCATTATTGTCATTAAAATAATACGCATTTCAAAAGTTAGAGAGAGGTGAGCTGTTTCTTTACTAATTACTAATCTAATTCACTCACATTTTTCTTCGGTTAACTGTTTAAGCACTTCACCCACAATCTAAGGAAGAAAATAAAAAGCATTACTTTTCGGCAACACCTAAATAAAAAAGCAAATTACCATCACCCTCTAATCCCCAAACTCCATTACCTACCTGCCCAACACTTTGTAGAGCCTTCAGATCATTTTCAGACTTTTCATACTGCTTGGTAAGTTCTTTTAATTGTTCCCTTACTGAAATAATACAATTTGAACATTTTTAATTGAACAGTAATCTTAAGGCGTTTAAATAGCTAAATCTCACTTTAGTGTTTACTTAAGTCTATTTCACTTTACCTAAGTTTCACATTCACTATTTCAAACCATAAAAGAAACAATGCTGTTTGTAACGAGTAGGTGGCATGTACAATAAAAAAATGTTTCAGAGAAAGCACCGTAATTTTATTTTCTTGATCGGCAACACTTGTTTAAGCATATTTTAAGTTATATTCTTAACAGATATTGACACCTTGACACTTAGGATTTGCGACTACAAATCCGAATGACAATCAGACCCTTCCTCACCTCTTCACCTACCCATTTGGATTCTTCTCTGATATTCTACCCTCAAGTCAAAAAATGCAGTTCTCTACAGAATCACTTAGTTATGGTCCTCCTTCATCTAATTAAACCACTCATGCTTTTCAATGAAAATGCACTGGAAAAAAAAAGCACTAAGGAGGTAAGGAATATTTGTATGCCTGATACAGTACAACAGGAAACAAGACAAAAGACAATATGGGTTATTGTGACAACTGGAACCCTTCTCTCTTAAGCTCCGCGGCCGTCTTTCACCTCCAAGAACAAGCCGACTCCCTGAGTCTCATCTCTTGCTTGAGCTTCCTTGACTCAAGCGCCTTCCCCTCTTCGAGTCCCAGGACTCCACCAACACTGCCCTCCTTGCACCCTAACCTGAGTAACATCCTCGGCCTACTTCTTCCCACTCCTCCTCTAGCTCTTTTCCATTTCCACTTCAGGGCCGCGGATGTTCTGTCACCAGGACTGGACTGGGCCATTTCTACACACGAAGGAGTGCTGCTCCCCAAGCTCAGGGCTGGATGACAAAGCGCCTTGTCCCTGGACCGAGGCCTGGTCATCTCTAAGTCTCGGTTACCAGGCTCGGCCAAAGGCTTCTACTTTGTCAGAGGCAGAAGCGAGTCGAGGCACTTGATTACTTGGAAAGAAAGGTGCACTCACACTCCTTAAGACGGCCGTCGATCTCCTTGTGCTCAAGCAGCTTCTTGCGGTAGTCCTGAAGCGCCTTATCTCTAGGGTCCGCCATGATGAGAAGCCGTCTCTCATAGGGGATGCCGGGAATGGCCATGGCCGTCCGGGCGGGGGAAGGGGCGGGGCGAGGGACGAAACCCGGCCTGGAGGGGTGGGTTTGCCCATGAACCCGCCCCTTCCGGTTAGCCCCGCCTTTCTACTCCACTTCTCCCACCTCTATGTCTCGGTTCACCTAGAACGCCGGCGTACACTGAAGGGGGACTCCGCCCACACCGTCCCCTGCAGGCCGAGATGGGTAAAGCAGGATGCAGTTACCCAGTCTTCCTCCGAGAGTCCTCAGTATTAAGTCACTGCTGTCCCGGAACCATAAAAAGCTGTGTAATAAAATGAGATGGAAGTGAAGTAGGAAATGTGTAATACCTCAAAGGAGTTCCGATGGCCTGTCGACACAACAGAGATGGCCTTTGGTACTGTCCAAGACCTCCACGTGCAGGAATAGTAGGCAGTTTTATTCATCCATTCAGTCAGTGAATGAGGTATTAAAAAGAGATCTGCTTATGATTTGATGGGAAGTAAAAAAAAAAAAACCTTCACAGTGTAGCAAATACTGTGAAGGAATTAAAACACAGTGAGAAGTACGGTGGGAAGAATTAATTTAGAGCAGGTATCTGAGATGAGACGGAGCCAGCCTGGCAACAACTGAAGCAAACCTTCTAAACAAAGGAAACAGAAAGCACAAGTCCTGGAGTGGGGTGGGGTGGGGTGGCGGGATGTGGGTAGAAAGCCTGGCTCACTTCCAGGAACTGAAAGGCCAATGGTACCAGTAGCGGGTGGGTTGTAGAGATGTGGGGTACAAGATAAAGATGTGGAAGTAGGCTGAGGCAGCAACTTTGGAGTCTGATAGAACTTTCAGATGCTTTTTTTTTTTTTTTTTTTTTTTTTTTTGAGATGGAGTCTCGCTCCTGTCACACAGGCTGGAGTGCAGTGGCGCAATCTCGGCTCACCGCAACCTCCGCCTCCCGGATTCAAGCCATTCTCGTGCCTCCCGAGAGCTGGGACTACAGGCACCCGCCGCCACGCTCAGCTCATTTTTGTATTTTTAGCAGAGACGGGTTTCACTGTGTTGGCCAGGCTGGTCTTGAACTCCTTACCTCAAGTGATCCGCCCGCCTCAGCCTCCCAAAGTGCTGACATTACAGGTGTGAGCCACCACGGCTGGCCAATTTTTAGATTTTTGTGATTTGAGGAAAATTACATATTCCCACAATATCTCTGTAAAATGATCATAATAATTGCACTTATCTAATAGGGTTGTCACTATTCAATAGGATAATGTACCTAAAGCTGGTAACATAACATTTGCCACGTAGTAAGTACTCAATAGTGTTCTTTTGAATAGTTATTCAAGAGTAGTAATGACCCCAATTTTTGCAGTACAGGTCCTCATTGCTATACCTCTTGCCATCATTGTTCCTGGGGACAATTAATTGTTGTCTCAAAGAAAATCAGTAAAATTATCCAGATAGATTCCATTTGATCTTATCTTATCCAATGGCCATGAACGTTTTAGTTTAAAGACGTATATCCTAAATATACAAATAAAGTACAAATTTACTTAAATTAATGACACAAAGTCACATAACGGATGCCTTCAAATTTGTTAGAAACAATTCTCATGGGCATTGTGTGAAGATTCCATTCTGTTTTTCTAAATACGATCGGGTTCTTGCAGTATACAATGAAAGAAGATGGATTGGGCAGAGACAGTCTCTTCTCCCACTCACTTACAATTACTCTGGTCAAACTAGTCCATCGATACCAGAAAATGTCACCTCTGACATCAATAAGTAAAGAAGAGAGGACAAGACAGAGAAAAAAAGGATAGCTCAGTATGGTTCAATTTAACAAATTTTATGAGCACAGACTGATAGATTATTTTAGTATTAATCACATGAATATTTTAAACTACTTTGACCCTTTTTCTTTTTCTTTCACCGATCTGGCAGAATTTCAACTTCAGATGAATCTTATAGTTTCCCTACGCCTACACTTACCCTGTTACTTTTCTTTTCTTTTCTTTTCTTTTTTTTTTTTTTTTTTTTTTTTTTTTTTTTTTTTTTTTTTTGAGACCAAGTCTTGCTCTGTCGCTCAGGCTGGAGTGCAGTGGCACGATCTCGGCTCAATGCAACCTCCACCTCCCGGGTTCAAGCGATTCTCCAGCTTCAGCCTTCTGAGCAGCTGGGACTACAGGTATGTGCCACAATGCCCGGCTAATTTTTGCATTTTTGGTAGAGGCAGGGTTTCACCATGTTGGTCAGGCTGGTCTTGAATTCCTGTGCTCAGATGATCCACCTGCCTCGGACTTCCAAAACGTTGGAATTACAGGCATGAGCCACTGTGCCCGGCTCTGTTACTTTTTTATACGTGCCTATAAGATTGTATTTCTCTCCATCTGAAAACGTAGCTCAACTTGTAATTACATATTCTTAAATGTGATTAAATGTTTAGAGTCTTTTCCCTCCAGTGGACTGTAACTCCTGGGAAAACAAAGACTATGACTATTTCTTTCTCCCGATTGTATTCCCAATGTCTAGCCCAGTGTCTGAAGTAAAAGAGATACATGTATATTGAATGAATGAATATGTCAGGCACTAAGATAGGTAAGCAGAATTGTAAAAAGACTAAGAAATGTGACCAGTACTCAAGGAACTTAAAATAGCATAAAGTGAAAAGAGGAAAATACAAATAAGACGAAAAAATGAAAATTAGAACATACAGGGTGAAACAGATATAAGAAGGTAATGCATCTCTTAGTTTATTTTGGAGTCCTTAAAAGTGAGGTCATAACAAACAGTCATAAGATTGATGTAGACCTTCAAAAATCATGTAAGGATAGTTTCTCAATCTATTTTCCTATAACTTGGCACAGATGGGTGAGGTCATTTTAAAATATGTACACAAATTATTTGACACTTTCCACTTCAAGAAGTGGCGCATAATTCTCCTTCCTTGGACCTAGTGACTTGCTCTTGATAAATAAAGTGGACGTGCAATGATGCAGACTAGATCACAAAAAGTATTGAGCCTTCTTTTTGACTATCCCTTGGCTAACTCCCTGTAGGAGAAGCCAGTTGTCACGGCATGAGGACACATCAACAGATCTATGGAGAGACCTACATGCCAAGAAACAGTCATCCAGGAACTTAAGACCTTCTGCCAACAGCCATATGAGTGAGCAGTTCTTGGCAGAGATCCTCCAGCCCTGGGCAAACCTTTAGATTACTGCAGCCCTAGTATTGATTGCAACACCATGAGAGACTGAGTCACACAACTCAGTTCAGCTGCTCCTGAATTGCAGGTCCCTAAAAACCATGAGATGATAAATGTTTGTTGTTTAAAGCCATTTAGTTTTGGAGTAATTTGTTGCACAGTGATAGATAACAAATACAACAGAAACAGATTTATTTTTTCAGAGAAAAATTGGGAAACAGTATCAAATAGGCAAGTAGCAACTACTTTTGCTCCCACATTGGCCACAACACTCAAGTTTTTAGGAATTTTTCATCCCAAATGTCCACTCCCAAATACCTACAAATATGCACTCAATTGAACATGTCTGTGTTTAAGCAGTGAGATGTTGAGGTAGAGTTCCAGCAGGGCACAGTGGCTCATACATGTAATCTCAACACTTTGGGAGGCGGAGGTGGGCAGATTATTTGAGGTCAGGAGTTTGAGACCAGCCTGACCAACATGGTAAAACCCTGTCTCTACTAACAATACAAAAAATTAGCTGGGCGTAGTGGCACATGCCTGTAGTCTCAGTTACTTGGGAGGCTGAGGCAGGAGAATTGCTTGAATCCAGGAGACAGAGATTGCAGTGAGCTGAGATTACCCACCGCACTCCAGCCTGGGAGACAGAGCAAGACTCCACTTCAAAAAAAAAGAAGTTAGAGTTCCTAGGCTTCTGGGAAATGCTTTTAATAAAGTAAATACCATAAAAAGAGCTTTTAAGGCCGGGCGCGGTGGCTCAAGCCTGTAATCCCAGCACTTTGGGAGGCCGAGGCGGGTGGATCACGAGGTCAAGAGATCGAGACCAGCCTGGTCAACATGGTGAAACCCCGTCTCTACTAAAAATACAAAAAATTAGCTGGGCATGGTGGCGTGTGCCTGTAATCCCAGCTACTCAGGAGGCTGAGGCAGGAGAATTGCCTGAGCCCAGGAGGCGGAGGTTGCGGTGAGCCGAGATCGTGCCATTGCACTCAGCCTGGGTTAACAAGAGCGAAACTCCGTCTCAAAAAAAAAAAAAAAAAAAAAGAGCTTTTAAACAAGTACAAAGATTAAATTGAAAAAGAGGTGTCTATCTTACTTTTCTCTAATCCCCAAGTTTCACTCCCTGAATTTTTTTTTTTTTTTTGAGATGGAGTTTTGCTCTTGTTACCCAAGTTGGAGTGCAATGGCGCGATCTTGGCTCACCGCAACCTCCGCCTCCCGGGTTCAAGCAATTCTCCTGCCTCAGCCTCCTGAGTAGCTGGGATTACAGGCACGTGCCACCATGCCCAACTAATTTTTTGTATTTTTAGTAGAGACGGGGTTTCACTATGTTGACCAGGATGGTCTCGATCTCTCGATCTCGTGATCCACCCGCCTCGGCCTCCCAAAGTGCTGGGATTACAGGCTTGAGCCACCGCGCCCGGCCCCCACTCCCCGAATTTTTAAATGTGTTTCTAGTATATTTACCTTTCTATTTCTAAACAATATCGTTAGGTGCTATTTCTTGATATATAAGTTTTCGGATTTATCTTCTAACCAGATTAGGAAGATAAAGATTTAGCACCCTCACTCCAGACTCCCACTTTCCCTACTTGCATCCTCCATACATGCAATATATGTAAGTTTTGGTTAAATTGCTAACCAATATTTGTGTATTCATGTCATTGTGGGGCTATGTATGTCGAGCAGTATACTATAGGTACATTGGCTTTATATAATTTTTTTTTCTTTTTTCTTCTTTTGAGATGGAGTCTTGCTCTGGTTGCCCAGGCTGGAGTGCAGTGGCCCAATCTCAGCTTCTGCAACCTCTGCCTCCCTAGTTTCAAGCTATTCTCCT